ACGTTCGGCAGAGCTTCCAGTCGACGGACGGCCAAGTGCCAAGACCAACGCCCGACTGGGTGTCGACAACCCAGAAGAACACGTTCATGTTCATCAGATTGGATTGATACGCTTTCGAGTTATGCGTGCGACCGCATGCATCGCCGGTGCCCACAATCAACTGCGACACGCTTGGCGGGTCGAGATCCACGAGCACCGTGCGGCGGGCCCATGCACTGACATGCCCAAACATGTTGTAGGCGCGCACGTAAAAGTGATACCAAAAGCCACTCTTGAAGCGGGTCCCGGACTGGGACTCGAGAACGGCTTCGGTGGATGTCACAAGGCCATTCGACACGCCGACAAAGATGGTGGAGCCAGCAGTGACTCGCACCTTGATGGTGGGATCGCTTGAAGGCGTGTTCGGATCCATCGATGCGGCAGGCGCATTCAAGCCGGTTGTAGTGAACCTGAATTCGTACGAGAAGATGGCCAGCCGCTGCGGGGAAGCGAGATCGGTGTCCAGAATGGATTGGTCCAGGTAGCCGGGATCGGGAGTAATCAAGTTGGCGCCAGGCCGATCGTACTGACTGATCATGTTGTCCAAATCGGTATTATTGAAGGACTGGCTGCGAAGGATGTCCTGATCAGGCTCCATAAAAACGTGATTCCAGCGGAATCGGAAGCTCTTGTCGTGTGTTTGGTACCACTTTTCATTGCCAGTTGGTTTGTAGACGTGGGCAGGATGATACGACGCATTGCTGGATGTGTAACTGGGATCGACAAACATGTTCTTGAGCTCCAGGTCACGATCGACGAGGTTGATCTGGGCATAGTGGTCCCAGACAACGCTCGGATCGGGAATGTATGCCCGATTCGGTAGATTGTTGGTTTCCGACGTAGCTCGGCATCTGTCCTCAGCATTGCCAATGTTCCACGGCTTGGGCAGCTGCGGGAGTGCTCCAGCATCCAAGCACTCGGCCACGGTGGCGCTGGGAGCAGTGAGGTCGTAGGACAGCATCCACAACGCCGAGCGGCCGTCACCAGCCGCATTGGCGACACGGACCTTGACAGTATACACGTTGTTGTTGACCGGAAGTGTATTGCTCGGAAAGGTGACAGAGATGCTAGCAGGATTGGACGAGGTAATATTGCCGCTCGTTTGAATCAGCGGATTGGACCAGTCTTTGCCCTTGAAAACGGCAGCACTCCAGGTTCTGATTGAGGACTGCATCTCAGAGAACGCCGAGGGCCTAAACTTGAACTGGGGCCACGCCGGGCTTCCAGTCTGCGTCACACAAGCAGCCAAGGCAGGGTTGGTAGCGCGGGACTGGCCTTTGAGCGGGCCGGTAAAGCTGCACGAGCCAGCAATCCAACGCGGGCTGGTGTTTGCCTGGTCAAACACATCCGCGGGGGAGGCCAGAACAGGGCGAGTGGGGTCGAACATGATGATAAACGTGGACGAGCGTTCGGTGCGCTGATTGCTCAAGGCAAAGTTGTTGGCAAATCGATAGTTGATGGTGAGCTTGGTGCATTCATTGACAACGCCGTCCGCAGGGCGGGCGCTTGAGAAGATGCGACAGCTTGCCGGCGGATTGAACTTGATGTTGTTTGTGGCACCCGCAGTGATTTCGTACCAAATGTTGCGGCGATATGTGTTGTACGGAGGGGTGAAATTGATGTCGCCTGCAAAGGAATTACTGCAGCTCGAACCGCAAGGTGAACTGGAGAGAGGGCGCATTTCCTGTGATGCCGAGTCGAGATACTTCAGGAAGCCATTGACAGAGCCACTAGTTTGGGGGAGATAATTCGTCGCAGGTGCCCAATCCTTGACCAGCCAAGCGTTGGTCAATCCGGCTGCGTTCGTTCCGGCGCTCAGGGGAACGAGGACGAGGTTTTGATCGGTGGTGTCGGGCGCACCCTCGTAGTTGAACTCAAACCGAATGTACATGCCGAGTTTGTTGCGGGATTGAGCGTCGTAATGATAATCATACTGCAACGGTGTTGAGCCCCTGTTATCTGTCACCCACTTGTAAGGATCTGGCATCCACGGGTTGACTATACCCTCGAATGTTCGCACTGCCGGATCGAGCGAGGACTGTAGCGAGCGAAACGAGGGGATTCCATTCTCGAAGCCGTTGGTGTTCTCCACAAGCGTCCGAGTCAAGACAAACATGGGAACAGCAGTGTCGCACCGCAGACCATTCCAAATGTTTGCAATGGAACCGTCGCTAATGCCGAACGTGGTAGGGTACCCGGAGGCAGTCTTGGTACACGTGCATAGATTGGCTTGATCCAATCTTGGGTTGCCATGATAACAACCAGAGTTGAGTGCACTCCACGCAGAGAGAGTAGGGTCATCTTGACCCGGCCATTGGAAGTACCACTGGTGGTTGCCGCCAGACATAGAATTATGGTCGACAAAACCGCCAAGTGGTTGTCCCAAACTGTTGAACTCGAAGGTCGGAGGGCGACACTGACGAGAACGACGCGTGCTGGAATACAGGAATGAGCAGTAATCCGTCGTCGAGGATTCGCAAAACTTTGAAAACTTGGTAAACACGGTTTGACTCGGCGGCTTTGTCAATCCAAAGTAGCAATCAGAGAGGTCATTGTTCACTCCCGATTGACAGTGACGGCTGAATGGGATGTAGTTGGTTGACGACGCCGGGTTGCAATAGCATGTGCCGCCAAACGATGTGGCCAACTCGGCACTACGCTTTGGAAAGCTTGGCACAGCGGCCTGGAAATAGATATCGATGCCTGAGCCTGGGGCAGAGTCGGTGGTGTACAGCGAAGATTGCGCACAGTGCCCGGAAGGATAATACCTGTTCAGGTCCGGCTCGTCCCAGCCTGGAATGGTGTAGCGGGTGTCGCAACTGCACGATTCGGCACACGTCGAGCCCCATTTGTTAAAGTCGCAAACGAGAGAGTCGACGCATGTGCGGAAGCGGTAGATACGATCCTCCTTGTCATTGTCGTGATGGCTAAAATGCGCCGTCAGCACAGAACCGTCCTGGTCTCCGTATCGCGCTTCAAAAGCGATGGTGTCGTCCCAGCCGTTCAAATCGCCACGGTCTCGACACGAGCTGATTCTCTGGGCCGTGTTTGATCCAACCCGGCAATAGTAGTGTTGTGTTTTGCGATCCTCTTTGCCGTTGTCGTGAACCGACTGTCAAAGATGCACCAAAAGTCAACATCATTGGCCAGCTTTCGTTCCATCGCCTTTTCAAACATTGGGTGGTACTGTGCAGCTTACAAACCAGCCAATAATGGCGGAGCCAATCTTATTCGGGCTTGCACCAACATCAAAGTTGATGGGAGTGTCAAATTGGTTGAGATAGTCCGTCCACAGGCAGTTTGCCAGGTTGGTGTACTGCACGCCGTTGCACACAAACCAGAACAGACGGTCCTCCTTCTTGTTCCAATTCTCAGAATACCATCCAGTGATTGCTTGATTAGCTGGGCACACCTTATACACTTGCTGTTCTCGCAACACGGCGGATAAGCAAATCGAGACATTCAAAAATTCAACGAAACATTTCACCAACAAGCCAACGAACAAACTTCAAACAAAAAAGCCGTACAGTGTCCCAGTTGTTCACCCATCCTGGGCCCCAGAGGCCTCGGTTCTGCCACCAGCTGATCACGGCGCTTTTGACACCACCATCCCAGAAATTTTGACCGCGAACCTGCATCACAATCAAACGACGAAAATGACCAAACATAAAGGTCAGCACAGAACATTCCGCGAAATTCCTGCAATTCCTTGCGCCCATCATTGGATGGCTTCACTATCACATCGTAATAGTTGAAGAAGCATTTCTCCACCCCCTTCACCCTTCTACCCTTTGTCACCTTCCATGAAATGTCATCAGCAGCGCAAACCCAATTTCGGCATTTCATTTGTCTCCTCCTAGTCCTGGCGCTTTCCCTTCGTTGTTTCTCCACTCCAGTTCCAATAACCACTCCCTGTGTGTTTTTTTTTCAATTTAACAATAAAGAGTGAAAGATCTCGCCCCGCCCTCACCCCCCCCCCCCTTCCCTTCACCACCAAACCACCACTGCTTGTGGAGAGTCGAGCCCTCGATGGGTTTTTTTTTTTTTTTTTGATTGTTTTTTTGTTTGTTTTTGTTCACACCTTTTCAAACGCAAGGGAACACCACCATGCTTTCCACCACCGCCACCCTCGACGCTGGGCACCCGGCTTAAGTATCACGACTCGTTCAATACACAGACGAGGAATAAAAGCGCCTCGGGCGAGCGATGAAAGTCTAAGCCCAGGGGAATCAGCAGAATGCCGAAAAAACAAAATCGCTCACGCATGCTCAAATATGAAAACACTCAACTGGAACAATGGCGACAATGGCAAAGACAACGAGGAGAGCGAAGGGGGCGACGTTCAGCGTGCTGCCGCGGATGCTGTTGTTGGTAAAGTGACGAGGAGCATGCCTGGTGGTGGCGGTGCGGCTGGTCGAGAGCGGGTGGCTGAGGAGGAGTGGGGAATTGATCACGTCCGCTGGCGGTGCTGCTCCCGCTGCTGCTACTCCACGCCGGGCGGGAAGCCGACGGTGACCACCACTGCGGTCCCTCTCCATCGTGGGCTGACACAGAGAGGTGTTGGTGCAGCCGCGAGGAGAAACGAGGAGGAAACGCAGAAAGTTGTTGAGAATGTGATAAAAAAAAACGCAAGGCGAGGCCAAAAAAAAAAAAAAAAAAAAAAAAAAAATTCACAAAGCGGGAGAAAGAGAAAGAAAAGCAAACAAAAGCAAAGAAGAAGAAGAAGAAGAAGAATAGAAGAAGAAAGAAAGAAAGAAAGAAAGAATGAGAATCACAAGCAAGTAAATAACAAGCGCATCAGCACTCAATAGCAAGACAAGAAAGGGTACGAAAGGAGGGAGGAAATGAAGAGGTGAAAACAATCAGCGGCGTGACCTGACTTTGACTAATATGGCCGGAAGCTCAAGGTGAACCAAAAGCAGACCAGCCACGCTGTCTCAGACAAGAAAAATCCTTATTGTCTCCAAGAGGGCGAATCCACGCACGTGAAAACCCACGTGCGAAATGGGGCACCCCAAAATACAAAATAGAAGACGCTCAATGAAGAAAAAGCAATAAAATGACAACCAAACAACAAAAGCATCGGAATACAAAGCTGCGCCCCGCTATAAACTCAAAATGGTGTGGGTCGAGCCTTGCATGTGCTGTGACAGCTCGGATACTGTGTTGGGCAGGCGTACAGAGAACCAATCATGAGGGGGGGGGACAATCCGACATTCAGCATCACACCCCTCTCTCCGCTCACATGCTCGTTGTGCATACCTCGTGCTATTAATGAAACTGCAGCTGTAATTTGCCCCTGGACTTCCAGAAGCGGTACTATCCGGGGCATGACGACCACCAGCAGCATCGGCCCTATTGCATGAATGACCACTCGATTCGCCACTCGCTCCAATACAATCCGGTTGCACGTGTCCCCTCGCGCAGCCACTATGCGCGCAGCAGTAACAAGAGCAAAGACGGAGTGGCTTATACATGTTGGTGGGGGGTGGAGTTTCAACAAACGACAACCTCCACACAATCATCGTACTTAGCTCCTCGGCATATTCACGCAGTGCAGACAAATTGGCCATGACTCCCACCCCATCAATGTCAACGGTAGAGTGAGATATCCGTCCATTGCTTGCGAGGAAGCACAGCTCGATTGAAGGGACGCATCTTTGCACTGTCACATCAAATGGGGTAGACCAACAGTGAGACACGGCAAAAACCCTACCTATCGTTCTCTTCCCCACAATCCTTTCCAATCCTCGAATGTACAACAAGACGGAAATGGTGACCCATCTCGTGTCACGTCGAAAATCTGAGCAAATTCAGAAACCAATTGAAAAAGGCTCAACCAATCGACTCACATTCATCGACCACCAGTCGGACTGAGCTCCGGATGCCTTCCAGAATCTTGGAGTGGAACGACTGGAAGATGCCGAGGTTGACTGGCGGTGGCGAGACGTGCTGCCGGAAACGGTCGAGGAAGAGCCGCAGCAGCTCAGTGGCGACCAGCTGACCGAGCTGCTTGCCGTCCTGCACGTCGTGGAACAGCGCGCAGATGATGCCAGTGCGGCCGGCATCGGTGCGGATGGAGACGGCGACTGCAGAGGAAAACAAATCCAACGAGAAAAAAAAAAAAGTCAAAAATCATAACAAAAACATCTGGCGCGCCCCAGAAAAAGGTACCCCAAAGCAGAATCGCTTGGTATATGGAGAGTATGGAATTTGAATCGCTTGTAATTCAATGTTCGTTTCGCGCATTTCCCGGTCCGGCGTTGTTACCTGCGCCGATTTCAACGTAGCTTGCAGGCAGGCCAGTGACGTCGCTGCAGACCTTGAGGATGGCGGTGATGAGGGAGCCCGTCAGACGCGGCTGGGCAATCAGCTTGACAAATTCGCGGTCGTAGAGCACCGTGCCCGCCGGACTGATGATCAGCAAGTGGCGTAGCATTTGGTGGGAGGGGAGGCAAATTGAAGAGTGTGTAGAGTCGTGAATAGCAAATAGCTAGCAATCGAAGAAACAAAAAAGAGAAGGGATACAAGAATAATTTGGTACAATAAGTACAAAGCAACAGCACACACCGGGGAAGAAGCAGCCACCCCAAAAATCAGAGGGCTAACAACAAAGCTGAGAAAGATCGGGAGAGCGAGAGCATGAGCCGGTTGACGGGGAAGAATAAACGAGCAATCCCGACAGACCGTTCAAATGGGGAGAAACAACAAAAAAAGTCAGACATAACCAACAGCAAAAGAACCCAATAAAACATAAACGCAGAAACACAGACCACACCACAAGAACAACAACAACAACAACAACGACGCAGCACCAACTCTGAAATTTTGAAAAAATTTCTCTAGCGTTGCAAAAAGACAAGGGCGACAGCCCAAATCATTTCGTTAGCGTTTGGCTTTTGTGTTTCAATCTCGGGATCGAGTTCTAGCAGGTCCTTGAGACGTCGCATCACAAGGTCATAATCGTCATCGTTGAGGGGCGAGAAGGCATTCTCCAACACGTCCGACGCGTGGGCGAGGAACAGGAGAGCCAGTGTTCGCTTGTCCATGCGATGGACGTCGTTGACCCACTTGGCCAGCAGAGCATTCTGCACCTTCTTCATGACCTTGGCCTTTTGCGCCGAGTCAACCACAGGGTGTGTTGTCATGTCAAACAACAAAAAGTTTTGCTTTTCTGTCGTCAACACGCCCTTCTCGACCAAGTTCTTGGCGAGGCGTTCGCGCACCTGGCGGAGCTGGTACTTGAGCTTGAGCGGGTTCCAAGTTTCGCCTGAAGCACAGGACGATTTGGGATTTGGGGGAGGGGGGTTTGATGAGCACCATACCAAAAAAAAAAAAAAAAAAAATCTTCCAAAAGAAAATCGGTTTGACCTACCACTGAGATACTCAATCCAGGACTCGACCGTTTCCGGTGGCTCTGTTTCCTTGATATGACGAAGCGATTCGTCCAAGAGAACGTCGCCGGTGGGAGTGTCGTCGAGGAGGATGACGCGGCGGGTTGCCAGAGATCGCTTGCGCATGCCCGTGCGCTCGAGCTCAACACGGCCGCGCAATGCCAGCTCGGCTAGTATGCATCCTCGCAGGCCCGACGAGATGCAGTCGTTCCAGAATGACGTATAACCCTATGGGTGCGAAATCAGCCCCGACGGACGGTTGCGCAGTGAGTGGAAAGTCAGGCAGACGCCGCGTTTTCAACTGTGTGTCTCTCCACATCCCCACGTTGCAAGGTTGGTTTGCGTTGAAGCCTGGCTCATCTCAGTTGCAATGGGTGACCTTTGTGTGCTTCCCTTTCCTCTCCTAACCATCCCCCATTGCTCTCTCTCTCTGAGCATCTCACGCCTTCTCCACTCTCCTCGCTCTCTCTGAGCATCTCACGCCTTCTCCACTCTCCTCGCTCTCTCTTTGCTCTCCAACGCCTCGTTTTTTGCTCGCCTCGTTCCATTTCTACAAAACCATGACTCTTGCTTTTCACCCAACCTTCCCCCATCGTTCCATCGTTGGGTGGCATTTGCCTCGTCGTGATGTCTGTTTCCATTCAACAACGAATGCAGATCTCAACCCTTTTTTTTTTTTTTTTTTTTTTTTTTTTTTGGTGACGTTTTCATTGGAAGGGCTTTTGATTTTTATCGCTGCCACTTTGCCCCGCCGCCACCACCTCTCGCTTGCTCGTCCAATGACGACCATTTGTAACCACTGACGACCATTTGTAACCACAGAGACCATCCATCCAGCCACCCCCACCCCCTTTGAGCCCCTTCACTGCGAGGCGGGACTCGTTGGCAGAAAAAAAAAAAAAAAAAAAAAAAAAAAAAAAAAAAGGCGACTCCCTTCATCTATCGACTCGACTGCCCTTCATCGCAACTGCCGCCTTCAGTGGGTCGACCGTCGACTGCAGGGTCAGAGCACGACTCACCCAGCCCCTTCTCCCTCAACACCAACGACACTCGTTCGCTTCAACCACGACAGAGCACAACAACGAGGCAGACCGTTCAGCGAACCCCCGTCATTTATCGCTCTCTCCTCATCGCTCACCTCGCGGTCCTTGAGGCCGAGCAGGAGGACTTCCTCCATGAGCGTCAGCCACCCTTCTTTGTTGTACTTTTCGCTGTCGTCGGCGTCGTCGAGCTGCGCGCTTGTGTGCGCCGCGTCCTCTTCGCTCTGTCGGTCGCCGCTCGCGGACGCGCCTGCTCGGTCCCCTCCGTTGGCACCACTGCTGCTGCTGCTACTCCCAAGACTGTCGCTGGCGGCTGCCGCGGCCTTCTTCCGGTGCACGAGTGTGCCGGACATGATGACTACAGAGTCGAGTGAATGAAAAAAAAAAGAAGAAAAAAAAAAAGAGTGGATTCGATGTCAGATTTGACTGTGAGCACGAGCTGTCTGAGAGTCTGAGAGGCTGAAAGGCTGAAAGTGTCGTAGAAAACCAGATCTACAAGTCGGGGGGGGGGCAAAAAAGAGAGATCAAAATCAAGAGGACGTTTCCTAGTCAACTAGATCTACAGCACCATACAGTAACGCACACATGCATGGGCGCGAGTTCACTCCGTCGATACCTCGCCGCATTCAAGCCGTAATTGATGCCAAGTGCTGGTTATACCAGTTACTGACGTGGCGCAAGGGGGAGCTGCGACATGGTATTTGTGTGCTTTTGCATTGTTTTGTCGATGTTTTCGATTTTCGTCTTCTCATCTTTCCAGCTCTTTGGGGGACACAATTGAACACACGAAAGATGGGCGAAATGACGGCAACAACGATGGGCCAAAAGTGCTTTGTTTGGAAAAGATAGTAACAGACTCTTGGGGGCAGGTTTGAACGGACGGATTTCAAATGCAACAAAGTAAGGCATCTCCACTCAAGCCTCAATGCGCTTGGCCGGGGCAGGGGAGCGACTCTCAAGCATTGCAAGTGTTCGCATCATGGAATACCTGGTGCGGCGGGATCGAACGAGAGGCCAAACTTTGGCAGGGTTGCACCCGAGCTCGACTAGGAGGCTTGCCGTACTGGCCGCATCTCGCCGAACAGCCAGATACAGCGCATCGGACATGAATGGATCGGACGCGGTAGGATTGGCAACGTTGGCTTGCCAGATCATGCGAATCACATTCAAATTGCCACTATTGATGGCATGTTCGAGCAGCGAGCGGAAACCGGGCCGATAGACTTTTGCCTGGCAATCCAACAGCATAGCAATCATCGAAACATTTGAATTCGTAATGGCCAGCCATAATGGGGACGGGGCCAGGAGGCTAGGTTGGCAATCGGGAGATGTGCCTGCCTCAATCAAGCGCTTGGCAGTGCGCAACTGGCCCTGGTTGACGGCGGTCTGCAAAGCCGTCCAGCCGCTCACATTGATGGCTGCCAAGTCGCCAGGCGTGAGATGGCGCACCAACAAATCGACCGCCCCATAGTTGCCTTGGAATGCGGCGGCCATGAGCGGCGTCCACCCTTGGTCGGTCGCGGCGTTCGCGTGAGCGCCGCGCTGCAACAGCAGCTCGACGAGCTCCAGAAATCCTTCTTCGCACGCCACCAACAAAGCCGAGCCCATGCGGCCTGGGGGGCGAGCATTCGGGGAAATGCCATTGTCGAGCAGCGCGCGAACACACTCGACACGATTCCGCTTCACAGCCTCGTGTAACAGAGTGGCGTGTTGATCGACAGACAGGGTGGAGGTCTTGAGCAAGGCATCAAGGGCTTTGTGTTGACTGGAGCCGATTGCGTCCACGAGAACGGTGAGTTGCGAGTGTGCCGCTACCCCATGCTTGTTGTTGGAGCTCGAATCAAACCCAATCTTTGCTGCAAGTGTGGCGTCTGGCGCAGCGCGATTGATCGCATCCATGATGAGTCGATCGACCTTGGCAAACGCCTCCCCTGCAGCTCGAGAGCGGGCAGCATGCATGAGAACGGTGCGATTGTGGCTGTCGCGAGCGAGTACGTCAGCACCCGCGCGTAACAACATCTCGACCAGGGGAAAAGACAAGGCTTCCGCCGCGAGCATGAGCGGGCTGATTCCTTGCGCTGCAGCGAGATTCGGATTGGCTCCGTGGGCCAAAAGTTCTGCAGTCACTTGGTCGGATTTCATCTGAATGCTTGTGATTAGCGCAGTTGTTTGACGTGTGCCTGCCGTACTCGCATAAGCATCGCGTGCTGCAGAAGAAGAAGGAGAAGAAGAAGAAGAAGCAGAGGAAGAGGAAGAAGACACAGCAGCAGAAGTTCCCTTGGGAGAAACGGGCACGAGCTCATTCACATTAGCTCCATTCTCGCAAAGCAGCTTCACCATTGCCAGATTGCCGGCACGCACGGCAACCTGCAATGGCGGCAACTTTGTGGGCGGAATTGGAAGGAGCACATCCAGGTTGCCAGCGCCGAGAAGCAGTTTGGCCTTTGCAACATTTTGGCTCTTGACGGAATGGTGGAAGAGCTGCTGGAGTATCGCAAGGGGCACGGAGATCCTTCTCTCCGAGTGCACACCAAGCAGCAGTGTAACAATCTCAGAGGACGCAGAGCCTAAAGACTGAACCGCAGCAGCAAGAGCAGCGCCTGACTCTTCCACAGGCGCACCGGCAGACACCAACCGTTTGACTTTGGCGGGACTGTCGCTCTTGGCGGCCAAAACTAGCAAATTTTCAGATGCGGCATTGGCGCCATGTTGCAGCAGTAGATCAACGACCTGCTCGGAAGTCGCCAGGCGCGACTGCAGAGCATCATCCAAGGCCGTCGCACTGCTCGAGTTGCAAGCGTTCACGTCGAAAATCTTGGCCTCAAGCAAAGCTTTGATCTCTGCGATTTTGCAATACCGTGTGGCCCAGACAAGCGGGAGCGGCGCCTCGAGGGAGCCAGTCAGCGGTTGACAGGTAGCCCCCTCGGCCAAAAGGAGCTGGATTACTTGAACATGACCACCAAAGATGGCCACATGCAATGGTACAATGAGAGGAGCACCATTCTTCGAGGCAGGCGGCACGGTCGGGTTGATGGTTGCACCCGCATAAATTAAAGTCTTGACAATCTCGTGATACCCGAGGGCGGCGGCAGAGGCGAGCGCAGAACGGCCGTTACTGTCACACAAGTCGACGTCGGCTCCAGCAACTAACAGCAACTGAACGGCGGGGAGACAGCCTGCGCCAGCCGCCGCGACCAGCGGCACGCTCATCGAGGAAGGGTCGGAGGGATCGGGTTGCGCGCCTGCTTGCAACAGCAGATCGACGACATCGGGCAGACTCATTGCCGCGGCATATCGCAGCGCAGAGTAGCCCTGATGGGTGACAGCATCCACCGGGATGTCCGACCGTTTCAAGAGTAGCTCTATCATGGGTTTGTCGTTTCGCCAGACCGCTTCCATCAGCAGAGTCACAAAGGTGGTCTGGTGAGGGATTGCTTGCGCCCCTGCACCGAACAAGGCGCTTGCCAGTTCCACCTCACCCCGAGAGACAGCCAGCCGCAGTGCAGATTGATTCTTGTAGTTGGTGACATTGAGGTAGCGCTGCACGACGGTCTGACGGGCGGCCTCGCCCGATTTCGGGAGCGCGTCGAGAATCGTGCGTGCTAATGGGTAGCATTTCGCGCCGATCGCATCCAGTAGCGATGTGCTTCCTGGCACGTGTTGGGAAGCATCGCACTTGCTGCGCCAGGCATCCAAGTCTGCCTCCGAGAGCAGCGCGGCGAGCCGGGCATCGTCCTGCTGCAGCATCGCGCTAACCAGTGGCGAATCAAGGGCCATTGCAGCGTGCACAGCCTCCACTTCCTTGTCAATGGCCCGTTCGTTGCGCTTTGGGCTGGCACGCAGCTTGTCCAAGTGGTAAGCTTTGGGGTGTTGGTCTGAATCCGGCGGCGCGTTCCCGATGGTGGACCTGAGTGTGCTTGTTGCGCTGTCTGAGCCACTCTGATCCGCTGGATTCAGCGTGGTACTCCCTGTCAATGCATCTCGCGGTGTCGGTTTGAGTGGTATGCTTGGTACTTGAGCACTAGCACGCTTGCGAGCAGAAGCAGCAGCAGCAACAGCAGCAGCAGAAGAAGAAGTAGACGACGAAGCAGTGGGAGGCACACGAGGCTGGCTGCGCTTGACGTGTGCATCAGCCAATGTGGGCCGCAATGCTTGGCGTGATGATGGTGCTTCTAGCTCGGCCGTGAGTGTCTTGGCAGCGGCAGATCCAGCTGGGCCAGCGGCAGCGACCGGTGGGCGCGACGATGGCCGATCCGCCTGCGCCGATGACAAGAACGAACGACGACTTGGAGCACTCGGTGGACTAGGATGATGGATGAAGGAGGGGTGATGCTGGTGCTGGTGGTGGTGGCGATGGGTGAGGCGGGCTTGGACGGGCAGCGCGGTCGAGCGCAGCACGAGGCGACCGAGCATGATGCCAAGAAATCTGAGACCGCGGGAGGATGAGAACTGAGCTCAGTTGGATTGAACGTCGCCGACAAACAAAGCAACACAGATGAACCAGACACCAACGAATTGGAAGAATAGGCTGGGAGTAAACGTAGAAATCGAAGGGTGATGGCAAAGTTACTGTAGTGAATGCTTTCATCATTGGGTTCAAACAAGACTCCAAACCAGGACATGGACAGTAGAACAGACAGACAGACAGACAGACAGACGGACAAAAACAACACACTGCGACAAACCAGTGTCGAAAAAAAACGAGCCAAACGTCAAACACACAACAACAACAACAACAACAACTACAACAACAACAACAGAAAAAAACGAACGCGCGATCATGAAACAACAGAAACAACCAACCACGAGGAGCAAGAGAAGGACAAGGAAGGGCAAGGTGTGACGCAGGAAACTTGAGCATCGGAGGATGGCATCAACAGTCAAACAGGGCGACTTTCGAAAACGTCCTCGAACACCTCCCGAGCTTTGCAGCTCATGCCAAGACAGTCGGAAGCACAGAAACACAAATCACAGCACAGACATTAAAAGAAACACCCAATCGAGTATTCTTCAAAAAACAAACTGCGACCAGGTCGGTTCCGTTCAAAGCTTCTTTTGGTCAATCAGCGAATTCAGCCCGACGCAAACCTTGCCAAGCGTCTCGCGGCTCTTGCCCTTCTTGTCAAAAATGTTCTCGAGGAACTCGGGGCTGCCATAGAAGGCAAAAACGTGGCGAGCGCGGTTGCACGACTTTTCGGTCAAATGCTTGGCGAGCAGTACCAACAGTAGTCGCTGCATCTCTGCCATGTTGGCCGAGAGGATGACCTTGTCAAAGGTAAAGTCGACCTCGTACATGCTCAGCAGGCTGAGGAAGGTGTTGGTTGTCTTTTTTCGCAGCTGGTTGAGCGTTTCAATGTCCTCGGCCGAAAACTGGTTGTTCTTGGCCAGAATGCCCAGCTTGACGACCGTCTTGATCAAGTCCTTGGAGAGCTTTTGCGCCTCCTTCTTGTCGGCCTCGAGCGCGGCGAGTTCGTAGACCTGCGCCCGAAACACCAAAATTTTAAATTAAAAAAAAAAAAAGCCGGAATGTGATCAAAAGTGCGTTTACAGTTGTGCACCGACTCCCGGGGGGTTCTCTCGTCGTGAGCGTGTTTACCTGGTCGAGCAAGTCGGCAACCTCGTCGTCAATAAAGTTCTTGACGACCTTGCCCGAGGCCATCTTGCCAATGAGCTTCTTTTGCGCGCGCAGCGAGAAGCTCTTCGGGTTGAAATCGGTCATCTTCTGTCGGCTCGGTTGTTTCTGTAGCAGTCACACGAGTAGTTTGGCGATTGTTGTTGTGAGGTTTTGATCAATCGTCTCAGTCGGCTTTGTTCCTCAGTGCCAAACCCCTCCCCCTTGTTTTTTTCTTCTTTTTGTTGACGCTTGATGATTGACCACGCCCTCTTTCTCATTCTCCTCCCAAAGCCCCTCAGCCCATCGCTTTTGTCTCGAATCGCGGTGCGATGATCATCATGATGATGATGATGGAAAAGCCGCGTGTTTCTTGTTGCGTGTTTTCCAGACTGTGTTCCAGCAATGTGTTATGCTGGTTGATCAACACTTGTTGTGATTTCAATGGCTTTTTTTTTTTTCAATGGTATGTTTGTTTTTTTCCAATGCAAATTCAAACAGAATGAATTTGAGATGAAAGGAATAATAATAAACACCTTTAAAATAAATAATAAACACTTTGTTTATGAATCGCTTTTTTTTTTTTTTTTTTTGGTTTTGTTTGATTGTTTTGCGCTTCACTCAGTGCTGTCTCGACGCTCCTCCGTCCAACCGCACACCTCGCATTCGCCACACAGCGCGCAGAGAGGACTGCGACGTGACCTGCATTGCTTGTTCTGGAAGGAGCGCAATGCCATGCACAGTGGCTGTTTTGATAAATAGCGCTGCTGCGGTTGTTTGGTTTTTTTTTTTTTTTTTTTTTTTTTTAAGCAGTCGCACCTGACAACACCTCCTTTCGCTCTTTATTTTTGCCCCTTCTGCCTCTATTCTCGACTGTCGGACGAGCGACGACTATTTTCAATTTTCAAACCCCACCGTCAACACGTCGCAGCAAAAGGTCTCACTCCCGCAATCTGGGAACATTGCTGCAAAAGTCAAAAGCGTCATTGAAGAAAGAAGAAAAAAAAAAACTGGAAGAAACCACACACAAACAAAGACCGCTCACACTACCAGCAGCAGCAGCACCGCCGCTCCACTCGCTCACTCGCGCGCTGTCTCATTACACACCCTCGCTTGTCTGTAAGGAAAGTGAGTCACTTGGGTGCTGCTCGGTGGAAGGCGGGGAGGGGAGTGAACGGCGAAAGGGCGAAGGTAGAAAACAATCCAACTCACATCACAAAATTGAAAAGAAAAAAAAAAAAAGACTGCAATGATCAACAACATCGATTCCAGATTGGAGATGAGATTGAAAATCAGGAAGGAAAGAGGCGGGGGAGGGAGGCGCGGTGTGGGGCGACGCTTCTGTGATGGAACACTCACAGATTGAGGTCTTGCGGCCTGTTTTGACTTCTGCCCAACCCCCCACCCCCTTTAACACTCTCTCTCCCCTTGCTCCAGCAATAAATATCTACTTTCATAAAACATCACGAAGCGGGGACAGTCATTTTTTGGTTTTTTCATTACCACTGCGTGAAATCTGTGTCCGGAACTGTTGATCGTTCAAAATGGAGCAAAGTCGGTTGTTGATTGCTTGCTTTCAAACATTTTCGCCGCTCAGTTCTCTGTCTGAGTTTTCATCGTCATCCGGTTTATTTTTGTCATAGCTCAGTCTTTTTTTTTTCCCTCAAATCCTCACACGCCTTTGTCTGAGATTTTTTTTTCCCTCCATTTTTGAAAATGGCCGAAGTTGAAGTTGACGCGACTGCTGCTGCCGATCAGCAGCAACAAGACACCACTGCTGCGGCTACTGCGACTGCTGATGCCCCGACTGCTGCGGAGGAGCAACAGCCGCGTGGCGCCAAGCGCCCTGCCGAGGACGATGCCGAGCAGCAGGACGACGAGGCAACGGTGAGTTTGAGGTGCTCACCAATGGTGGATCAACGGGGTTTTCCCCGATGTATTTGGGATGGTGATGATGTGGTTGCAATGAGAACTCGGAGGCAAAGGGTTGAAGGGGACAACAGGGGATGGGTGAAGGAGCGAGCTGTATGAGCCATCATTGGGGCTAGACCTGCTGCTGCTGCTGCATGGAGATCAAGGGGGTCGATCAAACGACAGGGCAGTAGACGCAGCGTGTTGATCGGACTATCTGATACATGCGCAACCCCTTCAACGCGAGATCGCAGTGAACGTACAATGCGTGGCTCAATGCAACTGGCTCAAATGCAAATGGATCCACATGGATTGTTGGGTTGCTGTTTCCCCGTCCAAAGTTGCGACTCGTGGAACAAGAGTCAAGCAAAACTGAGATCACTTGTTGCTGATGCAAGCATGCCAAAGGCAGCTCCAGTGCGGGGGGTTTGGGGAGGGGGGACAGAGACGCGGGAAGGGGAGGTTGGTGACTGAGAAAGCGCTGTCAATGTGCTCTCTGTCTCTCTCTGCCTCTCTGTCTCTTCTGCTGGGTGTGTGTGTGTGTGTGATTCTCAGATTGAGAAGCATTCGACGATTCGTGTTGGATGAAGAAGGGAAAACAACACAGCTGAAACAGCCAGTGTCGTTGTGCTTCACTGCGCTTCCTACAAAGCTTTCTCATTCATCTCCTCTCATCTCATCTCATCTCGATCTGCGCTCGCGGAGTCAACAGATGACCTAGTTGAAAGTGTCCACCACGCTTGGACTCGTTGGTCGGGGAACTTGACTGATCTTCATTTTGTTGTGCACATACATTCAAACAACAGACCAAATCGCCCAAGAAGACCCCCGCCAAGCGTGGCCGCAAGCGACGCGCAGTCGCCAAGGGTGAAGACGAAGAGGATGACGACGCCGCGTACGACGAGCAGCCTGAAGAGAAGGAGCCCGAGCAGACACCTCCCCCATCTCTGCGCCCGCGACGCACGTCGAGCCTGCGCGCCACCGAGCGCACCGCCAAGATCATGGCCCGAGAGCACCGCCAAAAGGACGACGACGAGGTCAACTCGGACGACGACGATATTGACAAGAGCTCCCTCCCTCGCCGCGCTGCTGCCAGCCCGCGTGGCGGCGGTCGTGGCCGTGGTGGCCGAGGAGGTCGCCGCAAGGCTGCCCCTGCAGCCGAAGAGCAAGCCGAAGAAGCTGCAGCTGACGAGGACACCGCCACCGAGTCGCAAGACGCCGCGGCTCCCATGGACACCACTGAGGACAAGCCCGAGGCTGCTGCCGCTGTTGCTGCTGCTGCTGAGCCTGAGACTGCTGCTGCTGCTGAGCCTGAGACTGCTGCTGCTGCTGCTGAGCCTGAGACTGTTGCTGCTGAGACTGTTGCTGCTGAGCCTGAGGCTGCCGAGCCCAAGGCTGAGACTGCCGAGCCCAAGGCTGCCGAGCCTGAGACTGCCGAGCCCGCCGCTGACAAGTCCACCGAGTCCACCGAGTCCACCGAAACTGCGGCTGCTCCTGCCTCAGCCTCGGAATAATCAAACCTCGGTTTCATAGTTCTTCCATTTGTTCAAATTGTTTCACGCAGATTTGTTTTTGTTTTTTTTTTTTTTTTGTTTTTTGTCGTCCAATCGCATTCTATGACGGCGACGCCTGCAACAGCGCGAGCTGTGTATCGGTGACGCTCGGTTGAATTCGGCATGAGCGGGCGACAAGCGGGGTGCGCGCTACCGACACATCCATCGCTGTTTGCTGCACGACAATGTGTTGACGCTGCTGGCGACCAAGCTTCCAGCGTCGCAATGCATCGCGTCCTTGTGACTGCGTACCGAGCAGCAAGACCAGCAATGTTGCGTTATAAGCAACGGTTTCGTCGCCTTGAAAGGGAGAGGTGGGACATTGCGCAGAGGAGAGAAAGAGTGAGAAAGAAAAATGCCAAGATGAGATTCAATCTGTCAGGATGTGCATAGGAAATCCTTCGTGCTTACGCGAAACGAGGCTTGTTGCACGATTGGCTGCTTCTTGAGCCTCGGAAACCCGCCGTGCGAGTAATAGAAGCACAATCCTGTTGTTCAAAAGCACCGTCTGAACCAACACCGTAATCAGCCAGAGTCGCAATCACCTATTGATCAGACCGCAAGGGACTTACTCGCATGGGATTGTTTGCATCGCATGCACCGAGCCCTGAATCTACGGCAGCCAGGGCATCGGGAAACTGGCGCAAGCGGGCGAGCGCCTCTGCACGCACGCTCCAGCGCCACGGCGAATTCTGGATTGGTGCCGAGTCGAGCACTGCTAGACATTCTTCTGGTTGGTTCCCATTCAGCAACGCATGGGACATCTCTTCGACAAGCTGATTTTCTTCAATCTAAATGACCAAATACCAACAAACCAGTCCACTCGGTGAGCTACAACATCGAGCTTCGCCATCCGCACTTTTCTTTTCGGTACTCTACTCTACCTCAGCTGCAACATTGGCATCACGTGCGCGCCGATACTCAATCACAGCCGAGCTCCAGCGTTGCTGGCGAACAAGACATCTCGCAAGCCAGAGATGCAAAATCGCGCCGGAAAGCACCTTGGGCGAGTCGGTGTGAAACTGCACCATCATCGCCCCGAAAGGAGTTTGCGAAATCCACAGCGCATGGATTGGGTGAGCATCACGCCATTGGCGGGCTTCGTGATTGGTTATAGCCTTTCGCAGAGCCTCTTCGGCACTAGATGCATCTCCTTGAGCGAGCCAAGTCATTGCCAAGTTGTACAGTGCCACACATTGCAGATTAGCATCCCCTAGACCCAAAGCCTGTTGAAAGCTGATGGCTGCTTGCTCGTATTTGCTCTAGTTTGCAAAAAACCAAAGTCAAACACACATGGTCAAGACCAAACTGGTTGAAACGAATACACAAATCAAGCGCAAGGGGCTTGGGTCGCCGTACCCGATTGAATTCGACGCATCCAAGCAGCATGCTCTGAATCACAGGGAGGGGGTTGAAACAACCGACTCCTTCGCGAAGAAGCGTTTCGGCCTGAGCCCAATTCTTGGCTTCGATCGCACGACACACTTCGATGGCAAGAATCAGACGTTGTTGTCAGTAACGCCGCGCGCTCAGCGAGAAAGCCAACGAAAACAATCATCAAAAAGAGAAAGACGAGGCGCGCACATACCCCTCATTGAATAAACAGACAGAAGAGGTGAATCAAGGCGCGACATTGCACCCAGCGCCCAATCAGCTTGCCGTGCGAACCGATCACGACCCGACCACGCGAACGCAGTTTGCTGTGGCAAGAAGTTTTCTGCCTGTTGCGTGGCTGCAATTGCATAAAGAACTGAAGCGCTCGAAGCGAGCTCGTGCTCGGGTCGAAAGGCTGCAGCAAAGCCTCCACTCGCCAGAAAGTGAACGGGGAAACTTTGTCCAGAGGTCACGAGAGCGCGTTGGGTCAAACTGGTCGCAAGGGCTTCGAGCATTGAGAACGTCATCTGCTGGAATTCGGCCGTGGTGGTGCCCGCACGAGGAACACCCAGTGCCATGGATGTGGTTGACATTCGCTCATTGAATGCCGCAGGACAGGTCGGCGGATGAACCAGACACAGCATCCCCAGTAGAGCAGTGGCTTGGTAAACAAGGTCGGCCATGTCTCGATGCTGATGCGCCAAACGCAGGACGGCCTGAACGCGGAAGGCACACAGCTCTTGAATTTGCAGCGTCACGTCGCCCCCAACCACCGCAGCCGAAAATCCGAGATTGCGCTCAAGTCGCTCCTCTTCTGGAGTTGCGTCGGGATGGAGCACGTGGGCCAGACGAAGCAGCTGTCGCCAGGCTTGAACGACCGAATGAGCTGCCGACATGACGCGCGTTTCCTGCTGCACGGCCTCGGAACTTCCCCCCGCCAGATGCGGTCCTGCCCAAGACTGCAAGCACCAGAGCACATGCAAGATGTAGACACTGGCTGCAATTTGCAGAGACCGCGGAGCTGGCGGGATTCCTGCAACAACAAAAAACCGAGAAAGAAAGAAAAAAAAAACGAGAAACCCCAAAATGATCGCATTCGGGGTCGTGAGTAGACGCAATCACTATCAGAAAACACTGAAATACGACCATCGCTATGATATAAGCCGTGCTACTTGCCATGCAGCAGAGTGGCAAGAGCGTGAAATTCGCTGCGGTCTTGCTGAAGCGACTTTCGGGTTGGCGTCGTTGTCGACGGTGCGTTCCAGCGAGTGGCCTATGCGTCATCCAAAATCCAGATCCATCGGCGAGGCATTCAATGAGCCATGCAAGTTTTGCAGATGACAGCAGTGATCCGACCCGGACAAATCTCAGATTTTAACTCGCATGCTTCGCAGAGGATTCTTACCAAACGATCGGCGAGCGCATTGTGCATGGCCACCAACTGGAGGTCTTGCGACGACAGCTTCAGATCGCTCCAGTCGAGGTAGTTTTGTGCGACTCGACGCTCGGTGTGCTGCGATGACGGGCTCTCGTCAGTCTCAGTAGAATCGACTTGGCCGGCGACAAACTTGGCCAGCGATCGAGCGTCTGCAGCCCAGCCCTGCACCAAACCACCACGAAATGCCCAAACGCATCAGCCAAGCAACCAACGCAGAAGCCCCCCAGATGCGGCCGAGTGAGTGAGCGGTGAGAAAATTTGGCGGGAAAAACACAGCGCTCGTTGTTGCATGAAACAACTGACTGACTTGTATGATTAACGACGACGTGCGCGCGGTGTGGCTGGCCTCGAGCCGGGCGATGGCGTCCTCGAAGGCGTCCCACTGACCGAGACGCACTGCGTTGAGAGCGCGGAGGCGAAGCGGCTGCAGGCGAGCGAGCTCGCTTGAATCCATTGGAAACCCGAAACAACCGACAAACAAAAGTGAATCACTGCAACTTCTCAGAGACTGAGACTGCCTTATTTTGATGGTGAGTATGTATCACATTAGAGCTTTGAACGATAGAATGCACGTAGCTGTACTTCCACTTTCATTCGCTCGATATTCTGGTCGAACGCTCCGTTTTTCACTGATTTTTCACTGCATCTGACAAATCTCAGACATTCAAAGTCAAATGGCGCGACTTCAATTTTATCCGATTGTTGAATTCTCAGTCGCCCTTTTTTTTTTTTTTTCTCTCCTTCCTTTGAGCACAAAATGCAAGTGACGGACGACGGCGGCGATCGTTCAGCCAACGACGACCATGGCGGCAATGCAACTCCAGCCAAATCCAGCTCCAATGCAACTCCAGCGAATTCGTCGTTTTCTTCCTCTTCTTCTTCCTCTTTCTCTTCGTCCGCTGCCACCGCTGCAGCTGATCGCAAACCTGCCAAACACGATGCCGACGACGACGACGACGATGACGATGACTGCTCGATGCTGGCGGCGGCGCGGCGGCACACGCGGCAGCAGCTCAAGGCTGATCAGAACGCGCTCGGCTCGTCGTGCCCGTACCTCGACACGGTCGATCGCTCGCAGCTCGATTTCGACTTTGAGAAGGTCTGCTCAGTGTCCCTGAGCGATTTCAACATTTACGCCTGTCTGATCTGCGGCAAGTACTTTCAAGGTAAGCTTCCAATCCAATGCGGCACCAACAGTGATCCCGCTTTCGCTTGGCTTGCTTCGCTTCGACTGGAACCGGATCTCGAATGCTTCAGAGCTTGATGCTGACATGAGGATGGCATTGTTTGGGTTTGAAAACAAAAAACGCAGGTCGCGGAGTGCAGTCGCATGCGCATACGCACAGTTTGGAATCGGATCATCGCGTTTACATCAACCTGTCAACTCTCAAGGTGCGATTTGGACGTGTGCCATTCAGAGGCATCGGTTCTTGCAGTTGGATGATGCTCGTGCAAATGGTTGGACTTTTGGCTCCTGTCCAATCGTTCCAATTTTGACTTTGTTTGGTTTTTGGGTTTTGGGTTTTGCTGTTAGGTGTACTGTTTGCCTGACAACTACGAAGTCATCGATCCATCACTCAACGACATTCGTGCTGTCATTCGGCCGACGTTCACTCCTGCAGCGATTCAGCAGCTCGATACAGTCTCTCGCCAGTCGGTCGGCCTTGACGGTGTGCTGTATTTGCCAGGTAAGATTCGCTGTGACTCGAGCTTTGTGACCTTGCAGTAGCAGCAAATGCTGATAAGCAAGTGCCTCGCATCTCATTCCCCTTCTGCCTCCATTGTAACACCTTTTTAGGCGTGGTCGGTTTGAATAACATCATCCACAACGACTACATGAACGTTATCATCCAGATGCTCAACCGCATCCAGCCTCTGCGCGATTTCTTGTTAAGCTCGCAAGCCGACGAAGCCTGCAAAACGCCTTTGAGTAAGAGGCGGTGTCCAGCTTTGTTCTTGCTTTTTTCCCCACGCTGTCCTCGTTGATTTTGGCCTCACTCTTGTTCTCGTCTTGCAACTTGCAGCCTCTGCCGCTTCAGAGCTTTTCCGCAAGATCTGGAATCCGCGAAACTTCAAAGGGCATGTCAGTCCGCACGTTATGCTTCAGGTAAGCGCCATTCCAGCAGCCAACGCTGTTGCCCTTCGCCAATGCCTAACATTGTGTGTGTGTGCGCGCAGTCCATTGCTTCCGCCAGTTCCAAACGCTTCACTCTGGCGCAGCAAGCAGACCCTTCAGACCTTCTGTCGTGGCTGCTCAACACATTCCATACCGATCTCGGAGGAACTCGTCGCAGTGGTTCCAGTAAGTTGAAGAGTTGGTTTACTGTGAATTCAACACTCACTATTCACTCATTGATCGACAGGTATCATTCATAAAATCTTCCAAGGATCTATGAAAATGATTTCTCGGAAAATGCCTGCCGTGGTTGATGAAGAAGAAGCATCAGAGGAACCAGGTATGAAACCCCCATTTCCATTTCCCGTCTGTCTGGCTCGTCTTTGCTAACAGCTGACTTTTGTCATTTGCTTTGGTTGTGGCGTCAGCCGTTCACGCCGCAAAGCGCGCTCGTTTGGAAGAAGATGTCGCTGAGGACGAATATGAAGGTAACATTTTCGGGTCTCTATGGCCTGTGTCAGCTTCGCTTTGGACTCAGCTGTATTCTTTTGCACGTCTAGACAAAGTTTCGGAATCGCCATTCATGTTTCTGTCGCTTGACCTGCCACCGGCACCCCTGTTCAAGGACGAGACTGGCAAAAACTTCATTCCTCAGGTGCCGTTTTTGTTTTTGTCCATTCGATGGTCATCGTCTGTAGTTGAGGGTTTGCTTACTTTTTTTGTGTGTGTGGTCGTACAGGTGCCGATTACCACGCTGCTCGACAAGTTCGATGGCGTGACCGAAAAGGTAACCAACGGATTTTGGTGGTTGCGACTTGTGACGACATTAATTTGAGCACCGAGCTCACCTCCAACCCCCTTGCTTGTGTGACTCGATTCCCTAAACCGATAGGAGTACAAAACTGGCCGAGACCTTTTCATGAAGCGCTTCATTTTGACCTCCCTTCCGCAGTATCTGATCTTGGTGGTTCGTCGATTTACCAAGAACAACTTCTTCCTCGAGAAGAACGCAACCATTGTCAACTTCCCTCTGCGCGGTTTAGACATGCGTGATTGTATGTGATGCATTCAGCTTCGCAGTTGCATGTTTGTGCTTGACGTCTCTCGTCGTCTGACTAACCTTCTCATCCTGTTGTTCCTGCGGTAGATGTGGAGAATGCAGCTGCCGTTGGCAGCACGACATACGACCTCGTTGCCAACATTTACCATGATGGGTCGCTTGAAGCAGGCCAGGGGACGTATCACGCACATGTGCTCCACAAGGCGACCAAGTCATGGTACTTGATGCAAGACTTGCACGTCAACCAGATCCTGCCTCAGCTGATCGTCTTGGCGGAGGCGTACATTCTCGTGTACGAGCGCCGCAATACTGCGACCAGCTCTTCGAACATGCAGGCGTGATGAGATGTCTCGCAAACACGCTTGTATTCGCTTTCAACACTGATCTATCAACACACTAACTAAAGCCAGATTCAAACTCAGCAGGAGGGTGGGTGGCAGAAATAATAAACAGGAAATACAACATTTGAAAGAAGAAAAAATAGCGAATCAACCTAAGCAGCTTGGTTCCGAAAAAACGCAAATCTCAAAACGACCATCCAGAGCCAAAAATGGCCTTTTAGGCTGTGGTCTCGGAATCGTGAAAACTGTCTGTGTTAGCCGAGAGAGAAGGGAGATCGTTCGAGCTTCCAGAAGCTGCAACAAGATTGTTGTAGCTACTGGCGAGAGATCTCCTGGCATATGCAACACCGTCCTCGCCAACAAACTCGATAGAACGAGCGATTCCACTGAGCGCTGAGACTCGGAGAGAATTGCGCTCACCGGGCCCATCCTCGCGGTCGTCACTCGCAACCGTCGCCGAACGACGCACTGCCCGAATGGAGATGGTGCCTTTCGCGGTACTCTGCATGGAGGAGACAATTTCGAGCGTTCGAACGACCTTTTCTTGCTCTGGTTCGTCAAAGCTGGAGCTGCCGCCCAATGCTCGTCGAAGGGTGTTGAACTTGCTCTTCGACGAACGGCGCTCGCCTCCAGAGGACAAGTCAGTCGAGCTGCTCGATAGTCGACGAGACGTGGCATCGAGATTCGAAACGCTGCCGTCACCCTCGCTCGCCACGGAAGGCGAAGGCGACGAGCGACCGTCGTTCGAAACAGACGGAGATCTGCGGAGGGTGCCAAACCAGCTTCGTCGCCCAGGACTCTGCTGCTGCTGCTGCTGCTGCTGCTGCTGCGGTTCATCAGCGTTGCTCTCGTCGGTGATTGTAATGGAAGGTCGGGAGCCGATAGAAGGGCGCGCCTCTTTCATGGAGCTGATGGATCCACGCGTTTCTTTCAGGGAGCTGATGGACCCGCGCATCTCTGACGCTGACGAAATGGAGGAGATTGAGCGCCGCGTGTCGTCGCCCGGAAGACTCGTGGTTTCGGGATCCGTGTTGCTGGCGCTGCTTCTTACCTGCGGGTTCAGCAGCAAGCCAGTTAGAGCAACGAATTGCATCCACAGACCGACAGCAGAGGCATCCACAGACCGACAGCAGAGGCAGCACAACCACAATCCCACGTTCTTCCACGCCCCCTCAAATCCTCGCTTCCACCACCACGCCGTCCACTCGCCAACGTGCCTGAAGGTGGTACAATGGCCACTTTCTCTTCCACCACGCGAACAGTCATCAGATCGTGCGAGTTGAAGCCACCGTAGGAATCCGCGTGCGGATTGGCTCCCGAGCGCACGAGCAAACGCATGACCTCATTGTGCCCGTGCATGGTCGCGAGATGAAGCGGATTGTAGCCGCCTCGCGAGAGCGCGTTCGGATCGGCGCCCGCCTTCAGCCACATTGCACACAATGCGAGTTGGCCTTTCTTTGCGGCCCAGTGCAACGCCGTGTATCCCGTGCCGCTGTCGCGCTTTGTTGCCATGAGTTTGAAACGTGCATATGCCATTCGGAATGCCGATGCGAACGCCAACGCCACCGGGATTGCTGATGCACTATTGCCTGTCGCTGCGCTCGAGGCGGGATCGCCAACAGGGTCGGAAGGGAGCTGCGAGTCTGCTCGAAACACGTAGCAGGAATGACGCGAGCTGTCCTTCGAATCCGTCAGAGACAGCGAAAAGAGGCTGCTGTCGTCGTCACTAATGCAGGTGGTTGAGACGGAAAAGAGCGAAATGGACAGGGGTAATTCGGCGTCGGGATCATTGGCAGTGGATGCTTCCTTGGTCGAGTAGCCACCGTAATTCGTTTCCTTGTGCGATTTGCGCGCCGGTTCGCGAGCCTCCGCCACGACAGACTTGCTGGACACGCGAAGCGTGCAGGGTGTGCCGGGTGTGATGGTATGGGTGAAGAGATACTTTTTCATCGTGGCCTGCATGACATCCCGATCTCGCGGATTCGACATGCGGATTCGGTGCAGGAATTGCATTGAAAAGGTCTTTACAGCCTCCTCGGCCAGGATGAGCGTTTGCAGCTTCTCGCCCGACTTGGCACTCTGGCGCGCCCGCTCCTCTCTTTGCGTCATCTCAGCATCGAGCATCTCGCGGGCTTCAGAGTCCACGGCCAGAGCGCGATGCAACACATTCCGATCGAAACGCAAGCCGTTCGCGGTGGCTGCGGCTGCCGCCTCGGCCGACGCTTGCGCTGAAGCGGTTCGGCCACCCAGTGCCGAGAGATTGCTCTGCGATGCTGACAAGGACGACATGGACCCCATCGACCCCATGGACCCCATTGGAGAGGAGGCGCCCGACTGCAACTTGGCCGGCGGCGACATTCCGGGTGAGCTTGCTGATGTTAGTTTGGACGAGCGAGTCGCCGTCCCGCCTGCCAATGGCGACACTGCGCGCTCTTGATCCTCTTTAAGCTGTGCCAGTGTCAAGGACGGCAAAGACGCAGATCCAGCTCCACGACCGGCGAGCGGGGAGGTGGTGGCAGTTCGTAGTCCCCGCAAATTCGACGCCTCGTGCGCCCTGCTATGCCGGTCACTCGCGGTACTCGCTTGCACCGATAATGACGATGCATGCTTGGATTCACCCGCCTTTGCGGCGGCGTTGCTATTCGGTGCCAAGTGGCCGCCTTGATTGCTCGAGTCTGTGGTGTTGGTGTTGGCTGTGGCGTTCATCTGGCTGCTGCGATGATCCTGATCGTCATCACTGTCGTCCTGGTCGTTGTCCGAGTCGAGCTCTTCGACATCCGTGTCTCGCTCGTCCTCGCTTGCTGGTTTGCTCTGCGACTTGTCCTTGGTGTCCTTGGCGGATTGTGATGACTTGGAGTCCGACCCGCCGAGCTTGAGCTTTGACGCCGACTTGGTCAGCCTGTGTCGGACTGAGCTTCGCAGAGACCTCTTTGCCTTTGTCTCGGACGTGGTCGCAGCTACAGCAGCAGCAGCAGCAGAAGCAGCAGCAGCAGCAGCAGAAGCGGTTGTCGGGGCAGATCCGGTGGGCGGGTCGGTCGGCGGGGTAGGATTTCCTTGGGACTTGGGCGACGTTTCCTTAATTTTGGTATCGGATTTGTTTGACGCTAGCGCGGATTCCTTAATTGTTGGAGCTCCCGTTGCTGCCGTTCGCCTCTGCAGCCTCTGCTTTGGCCAGCGTCGTGCTTGGCTTGGCAGCGACGGATCCCGATGTTGACGACGACGACGATGCGGCAATGTCTGGATTGGACTTGCTCACGACCGACGCGCGCTGAGGCGCATACAAGCGACTCCTGCTGCTCGTCCCCTTGCTGCCATACACGCTGCTGCTGCCCTTTGCATTGGGAGCAGCAGTCGTAGCGTTAGTAGCAGTGCTGGCGGTGGGATTGCCGGCTGAGGTGTCCTCGCCCGTCTCGTCGCTGTTTGCATTCGGCGGCGGCATTCCAGACGCGAGCAACGCCGCCGTCCGCTGCGACCAGAACCCGCCGAGCGTCGACATCCCCCAAGCAAAAGCAAATGCAAAATAGAAAATGTAGAAATAGGGGAAAAAAAAAAGTGACCGAAACACAGAAGGACAAGAAGGAGAAGGAAAATTTGATTAGTTTGGCTGGAGGTGAGAAACTGGAATGTATTGCATTTGCATGAAGTGTTTGGCGCCTTGGCTGCGGATGTTGATGCTCGTAAGCAACTGAAAAAAAAAACTGCAGCAAAATCCGAGTGTCAAGAGGAGGGAGGGGGAGGCGGGAAACCAGTCTTAAATCAAGCCTTGGCGGAGCAAGTCTTGGTGCGTCTTGAAGTTCATCACGTTGCCCAAACTGTCCTCAAACTCTTCGTCGACCATGGAAACAAACTTTTCCTTGTTCTTTTGCATTTGCAGCTTGTTCCAGACTGTGGGCGGCAGAACGAAAAGAAAAGGTGGATGGAGGATTAACGAAAAAAAAAAACAGTTAAAAACACAAAGCTGTGACACTTCACCCGAATTCTGATTTCTGAGCAAAATACTTACGGGCTCGTGCGTCGTCAATCTTGGTAACGTGCTGGAATGCCAGCGAATTGGGAATACCGATACGTCGCATGCCGAATGCATGTCGCCATTCCTGTCGCAACGGGAAAACAGCAACAATCATTTTTTCACATTGATGAGCTGAACGGCTCTCGGGCCAACAACTCTGCCTGCTGCAGCTCGTTGGTGAAAAACCTACCTGGAAATGCCGTTGGAAAATCTTCGGTCCTCGGTAGGTGGCATCACCGCAAATTTCGCACTTGAATTCGAGGTTGAGGCCGTGAAGCTTGTAGAGCCAGTATGGGATTGGCTTGCCGTCCCAGCCCAGGGGCAAATTCTTGGGGTTGTAAATTGGCTTGTCTTCGCCGTCGTCTTCTTCCTCCTGCGGTTACCAAGTGAGCCAACCATCTTCCGACCCTCACAATACATCCTATATAAAAACCACGAGGACCATGCGAAACGCCTTCGTCTGGGGGGGGGGGGTCCTCACCTCATCAATCTCAATGGCATCGTCTTCTTGCTCTTGGTGCAACTCTTCGGCGGTCAAGGCTTGCTTGCGTTCGACGTTGATTCGAGTGGCCTCGCGTTGCTCGCCCAGCAACTCTGTCAAGCGATAGACAATGGCCTCCAAGGCAGCAATATCCTTGGTGGTGCTGACGTCCTGGGTGCTCTCGGACGCGGCTGCCGCAGCAATGCTGGCCATGCTGCCGGCAGTGTCGCCGCCTTGCTGTTGCTTTTGCAGCAGCTTCTGTTCGGCCTTCTTGTGATTTTTGCCCGAGAGATGGCCTTGGTAGACTGTTTGCTTGGGAAACCACTTTTCGCAGGCGTCGCAGTACACGGCGGTCGACGGCTCGGCGTTGTTGCGGTCGGCGTCGACGACTTGCGTGTTCCAGCCAATGAAGATGCCTCGTCGCCACTCGCTCTCGAAGGTGACAAGGGTGTCGCGGAAATCCGACTCGAGATCGTACAATGGGCGGATGCGCTTGTGAAAGTCGACCAGGTAGCTGCTCAGGCCGCTGAGGTAGTGCTTGAAGGACGCAGACAGCTTAATGTCCTTGGGAATGTCAAAGAGCTGGTCAAACAACTCGAGATACTGCAGATAGTCCAGGCGCTCAATGCGCTTGATGTTGATAAACTCGCTGTACTGTGCGTGCAAGTCCAGAAATTTGCCAGACGCCTCCTCATCCGAGAAGGTCACGTAGTGCTCGAGCGGTCGGTTGATCCAGAGCGACGACGCCTTCTGCTGTGCTGCCTGCTCGTCCTCTGTCGCGAAAAAGTCGCGCTGATCCATGCCAAGGCTCATTGGCACGGCTTCCTGTGAATGCTGTGTTTTGCTGTCCCAGACCGGTTGCAGGAGCGGCGGTACCTCGGCCGCGGCTGCTGGCTTGGGCGGCGCCATTTCAAAATCGAGAAGCTCGACCGACTGGATGGGCGTAGGGGAAAAAAAGCAGAGAAGATCAACAACAATCGCGATGAGATATACACAGGACGATTGGATCTGAGAGAATGGGCTCAAGAACACAAGAGAGAGAGAGACACAGAGATGACCAGCGGTTTTTACCTGCCCAGGATTACGACGATGGGCATCTCGAATCGACCGTAGCCGATTGTAGAACTCGTCGATACCATTGACGCCTCCCATTAGAGCCAGTTCGTCGCGTCGTGCACTGAACACAACCAAGCAAAGTGTTTTGAGCACAAAAGTCGGTTAACCAGCCCGTCAGTTGTCGGATTCGACGGCTTTGGCCAAGTGTGGTCAAACCCACCCGCTCTCAAACAGCGTCCAAACACTCACCCATCTTCATCCGCATAGAGCTCGCTCAGCTGGCTGCTGCGTTGCTGGTAGCGCTCGAGCAGCTCCTTGACTTGGTGCTCGGCCAACGTCACTTCGCGAGGCTAATACAAAGCAAGCAAAATCAAAACCAACAAAAAAATGAAAATTAGCACAGTTTATCCATTCTCAGAGTTTTCATCGATTCTCAGAGTGGTGGCTTGTTTGCATTGGATTTTGTATGGAGACCACAAAGGACGAGATCTCTGCCATTGTTCATGTTCAGGACCCGAACTCCCCCGAGCTCCCCGCCACCTCACGCAGCAGGACGCGGTGTGTGGATGGTCTGACTGGCTGTCTGGCTGGCTGGCTGGCTGGAGTGGGAGGAGGAAGGCAGCAACAACTCACCGCTTTGCCGGCGTCTTGAAGTCGACGCGCCATGCCACGCTCGAGGCGATCGCGCTCTTCGTGCAGCCGCCGCTGTTGCTCGAGCAGCGAGAACGACATTGCTTGACTACGGTTGCGGAAGGGGGCGGGTGGGGTTAGGGTTAGGTGAAGTCTGAAGTGGCTTGGATCGACAGTCAAGTCACTGAACTACTCGTTGCTCTGTGCTGGTAAGACTGAGCGAATGCATCTGCACGGATTTAGATTGGGATGATGAACAAGCTAGAAATTCGACATCGAGAAATTAAAGCTTGGGGAAACACGCTTGGACGACTCGACTCGAAGGGTGCTCCAGGTGACTGAGAGCCATGTTCTCGGCAGCTCGGCCTCGTTTCAAGTCGTTTCAAGCGCGCACATTCACGATACAAATCCGCAATACTGACCATTAATCAATCACAAGCACCAGCATTGCTTCTTTTATGCCATGGTACCGTACCAGTCCTCTTTGGCGCTTTATGCCTGGTGCCGCCGCTCGCTCGTGCAATCTGCTCGCTCCATCCATCGCCATCGTCGCCATTGCGCTCCTGTCTGCTCTGTTTTACTCGTCATCATCAACTCTGTCTTCATTAGCCTCGGGTTCAGCAGTGACCAGTACGAGTCCGAATCCAGTCGCAGCGATGGCAAACCCTGCGAATCTCACTCAGCGAGTGCTTACGTGCTGGTTCCGCAACTGGGACCGCACGCCGCCGGTACCTGGCCCCATCATGTCCAAGTGGTTTGCTCGGGACGACCAGTTTGACCAGGAAATCAAGTAAGGGGCCCGCCGCCTGGTTTGCGCTCTGCAGCGTTGAAAATTTGCACGGCAACGCTTTTCTCAGAATTACTCAGATACATCATTGGCTTTTGCACAGATCAAACTTTGAGAGCGACGTGATTGCTGCTGGCAAAGGCGCATTCGATGGTATGACCTTTGGCTTTTTCGTTCAGTGTTCAAACATCCAACTTGTTTGGAGACTAACTGTTTTGAGCTTGAGCTTGCAACAGACGTCGCTGCGAAGAGTGCGAATGATGCACTTGCAGTTGCAATTCTGCTCGACCAATTCCCGCGAAACGCCTTCCGCGGAACTGCCCAGGCCTTTGCGTTTGACCAGAAGGCGCGAGAAATTGTCTTCCGCGCGCTGGATGCCGGCTTTGATGCGCACGTGCACCCTGTCGAGCGACAATTCTTTTATCTCGTGCTCATGCACCACGAGAATCTTGAATCGCAGCAACGCTGTGTCCAGCTCGAAGAGAAGCTGTCTCGAGAGCACGGAGAAGTGGTAACGTTTGATGTGCACTCGTCATGTTCTGTCAAGTTGGCCCCCCCCCCGCCTCTCGCCTCTCATTGGGTCTTTTTTTCCTACATTGTTGCTACGTGCCTTTTTGACGTCTGTCCTTCAACAGTACCCATTCCTGAAGCACGCAGTCTCGTTTGCCAAAGACCACGCGAATGTCATTGAACGTTTTGGGCGCTTCCCGTCGCGAAACGCTGTTCTCGGCCGCGAATCCACTGCTGAAGAAAAGACCTTCCTCGAGTCGCACAAGGGATGGTGATTGGATTTCGTTCCAGTGCTCTGCTGAGGTGTTTTTGTCCACGAGAACGTAAAGTTCATGTTGAACCTGTGAACATTTTCGTCCTTCTGATCATAACAATTCCTGTTTCCCACCCCAGCGAACTCTTTCTGAGCTTCTCGGTGCTATTTGACATTGCTACTGTGCTTGTTGCCATTGTCAGTCCTTTTTCCATCTGGTTTCAGTCAGAATGACCATTTCGTTCAATAGCGAACGAGCTGCGATTCAAGTAAGATCAAAAGTCATACCATAAATAACCTGACGATGCTTTACTTGCTCAATTGTCAAGAATAGAGACAGAGATGGGAGAGAGAGCGTAAATACCAACAGTGACCATTTTGTTGCTTCGGCAGTGAACTTCTTAGTATCGCCACCTTGTTTCTTGTTCGCTTTCATTACCATCGTCGTTCACTCAAACTCGCTGCTGCTTTTTGCCTTGTCCTCATCCTCGCTTTGCCGCTTTCTCCCAGGCACTGCTCGCGCCAGTCACTTCTCCGGCGGCCTCGCCAGCAAGCCTCGTCAATGCGATCGTCGCGCACTGCAACGCTGCCCGCCGATCATCGACAGCGCTGCCATTGCTCCCTTCGTACGAGTCGCTGCGTGCTCAGCCAGCGTCAAAGACAAGCCAGGCTCAGCCCACGCCAGCCACGCCAGCCACGCCAGCAGGGTCGACCCAAGCACAGGTGGATCCGTTTCAGGCAGTGAGGCAGCTCGCAATGGACCAGGCGTTCCGAGACGCACTCGCCGCCATCCTCACCAAGCACGCAAGGACGACTGCAGATGCGTTGGCGAGCGGCGGACTGGCTGTCTCAGAGACGGCGACCGATGCGACGGTGGCGACGATCGGACTGCTGCTGGACACGGCACTCGAGTGCTCGAGGAGATCCGTCCTGACCAGCAGCATCCCGCTGGCACTGCTGACGGACGCGCTCGACTCGCTCACGCTGGATGTGTGCGACAAGCTGTTCGACCTGGTCGAGCACAGGCAGACCGACCCGTCGTGGACGAGCACCGTGTTTAGCACGTCTGCAGCCCCGCCATCCGCGACTCCGGGCGTCCCGGCGCCCACTGTCATTCGCGGCACGTTTGCAACCAATCTCCAAATCCTGCAGTTGTGCAACGAGCTCTTGAGGCGTCTCAGCAAGACGCAGGACACGGTCTTTTGCGGTCGCATCCTCACCTTCCTTTGCAGCGTCTTCCCACTCTCTGAAAAATCGGGGTTGAACATTGCAGGTGCCTTCAACGGCAGCAGCGCTTTGGATTTCCTTGACGAAGGTGAGTGGAAACCCCCTACTCTTTTCAAAAGGATCGTTCTCGTGCGTCGAACTCATGCCGTTTTGTCTTTTTGTCTTTTTTGTCTTTTTGTCTTTTTGTGTCTATTTGTCTTTTTGTCTCTGTCTTTTTGCCTTTTTGTTTTGTGTGCGTCTGCAGAATCAGCCGACGAAGTTTCGTCGACAACAGAGGAAATCCATCGCTCGTTCTGGTCCCTGCAACCCTTCTTTTCCAATCCCAACTCGTGCTTTACCGCGGATGCCTGGCTGAGTGTCACCAAAGCGGTCACCACTGTGTTGAGCACTTTTGCCTCACAGCCGTTAACATCTTCTTCCTCGGATGGTGAACGATCTGCAGCCTCTTCTTCCTCTTCTTCCTCATCGTCGCGCTCCAGCAAATCATCTCACCATCACCACCACCACAGCTCACACTCGAGCATTCCTGCAATCCAGTCTGCCGTGGCTCCCAGTGCGCCCGCTCACCAGAGCGATGACTTTTTCTTTCCCAAGTTTCTCACAAGCAAGCGGCTCTTCCAACTGCAGCTCAACGACTCCACCTTCAGGAGGCACATGCTGGTGCAAATCCTCATCATTTTCCAATACCTCGCGGTTCCAAGCAAGGCTCGCAAGACGCTTGTTCTGAAGGACGACCAGCTCAAGCTGCTTTTCGAATTGCGCGACAAGACCATGGCCGCGCTTCGCGCTGTTCCCCCACACGGTGCCGTGTTTGCAGCAGCCGTCGGCCAGGTTCTCGAGTCCGAGCTCGACTGGAACACATGGAAGAACGAGTCCTGCCCACCCTTCGAGCGAGCGCCAGATAGCACTGTCATTGTTGGCCATCTCCCCATCGCCAGTGCTGCAGATGCCGTGTCGCAGCCCAACGCTGGATCGCTGGCACAATCTCGCAAGCGCGCCCATGACCAGGTGGATGAGAACTCTGAGGATCCCACGGCTGCCCGCCACATTGCCAAAAAGCTCACGTCTGATGGCCGTGTTCCGAGCAGCAGCTCGTCCGGCTCTGGACCCGTGCGCATGGGCCAGAAAGACCTGACCGCCTTGTGGAATGCCAACGACGAGTCGCTTGCTTCGCTCCAGGGTGTCGACCGCCGCTTCATTCCGGATCCCGATGCCTTCTTTGAGGAAGCCATTGAGCAGATGGACCCGGATGCTCAAATTGATAAGGTCTACTGGAAGATTGGCGATGAGCTCTTTGCGTGGCGATCGCTGCGTTTGCTTGCCCGCACTCGCCTGCATCTGTTCCAACTGGCCGCGGCCCTGCCGAAAGCCGATGCTGACAAGAGCAAAACCGACAGCAAGCCAGACACTTCCAAGGTTGTTGCCGAATTCCTTGTTCAAAAGCTGCGTGACGAAAAGTACCCGCCGCCGCCGCCGCCTCCTCCGCCCGCGGTGTCGGCATCAGCACCAGCAGCAACAACCACCTCAGAGAACGCGGGCTCTTCCGCCACTACGCACGCAGCTGGGTCGGAAGGATCGGCGCCGATGGAAACGGATACCGACAACACCGCTGCACCCGCTCCCACGAACGAATCAACGGCCACAACGACAGATGATACCGAAGATGAATTTGAAAAGTACATGCGGACGCAGCGAGAGCAAACGGAATCGAAGACGGAACCGAAAGCACCAGCTCCCGCTGATGGCGAGGAGGCCGCTCCTATGCAAAGCTGATCGCAACAGCCGGTGCTTGTAGCTGTTGTGTCTCATGACTGTTTTGTTTGACAACGAGTCCAAGAGGGACATGACCGCTTGTCTTTGAACGAATCTCCATATCTCATTCGGGTTTTTAGAAAATCTTGCAACGTTTTCCACTCTTCCTTTCCACTCGTCTTTTGTTTTTTGATTTCGAGAGGAAACAAAACTCCATCCAATTCAAACCCTTTGATTGATTCTTACCTCTTTTGTCCATTAACAACACAATGAGCACAATGTTGGAAAGTCCCCCTGTTTCTACAAGCAAACGCCGCGCGTCTTCGCCAGCTGGCTACAACTCTCTGCCGCAACATTCACACTCCCACTTGGCAAAGCGGGTTCGTTCCCAGGTGGCGAAACCGAGCCAATTCCAAAAGCTTCCTGTTACGGTTTTGTCCGGATTCTTGGGCGGTAAGTTCTTTCCCTCTCTCTCTCTTACGGTTTTGTCCGGATTCTTGGGCGGTAAGTTCTTTCCCTCTCTCTCTCTCTCTCTCATGTCAAAAGTCTACTGTCCTTGTCGGTCGGTCGGTCGCCATTTTCTTGTCCTTTGTTTCGCACACACTAGGAAGTGATAGCGAGAGTCTGGTGTTGATGTATTCAAAGAAGCGGGAAAAAAAAATCCCATCGAAACCAAAAAGGCGATCTTTTTCGTTCTGCGTTTTGATTGGGCGCGTTCCGAAATGTGCTGTTTGGAGACGAGTCTCGAATTCTCACGTGGCGCTCCCTTGTCCAATCAAACGCAGCCGGCAAAACGACCCTCCTCAACCATGTGCTCAACAACCGCGAGGGCCTGAAGGTGGCTGTGATTGTGAACGACATGTCCGAGGTCAACATTGACATTCAGCTCGTCCAACGCGGTAAGTGAACCACTCGACCATGCAAGCAAACAGAAGCCATCTGCAATGCCCATGTAAATCACCTTGAGTCTAATGTGCTAACTGCAATTCATTGGGGCATAATGAATCAATAGGCGAGGCGTCACTCAGCAAAGTGGACGAACAGCTGGTCGAGATGACGAATGGCTGCATTTGCTGCACCTTGCGCGAGGACTTGCTTGTGGAGATTTCAAAGCTGGCCAAGGCCGGCAAGTTTGATTACTTGCTGATTGAGTCGTCCGGTGAGGAACCGCCTCTGGCAATCTGTATCTATTGATTCGGGGCGACATCCAGAAAAGCTGAATGTTTTTGTTTTGGTTTTTTTTGTTTTGTTTTTCGTCGTTTTGGATTTTGTCTCGTTCCTCAACAAGGCATCTCGGAGCCACTGCCGGTCGCAGAGACCTTCACCTTCAAGGACAAGCGTGGCAAGTCCCTGGGCGACGTGGCATACCTGGACACGATGGTCACGGTGGTGGACAGCCACAACTTTCTGAAGGACTTCCACTCGGTCGACACGCTCAAAAAGCGCGAAATGCAGGCGTCGGACAAGGACGCTCGCACAATCGTCGACCTGCTCACGGACCAGATCGAGTTTGCCAACGTCATCGTTCTGAACAAGACTTCGATGCTGACTCCCAGCGAGCAGGTCAAGCTGGCGGGCATTGTTCACCACCTGAATCCGGACGCGAAAATCATCCCGACAGACAACAGCGTGGTGGCCAGCAATGCCATTCTCAACACGGGTCTGTTCTCGATGGAGAAGGCCGAAGAGGCACCCGGCTGGTTGAAGGAGATTCGAGGCCAGCATGTGCCGGAAACTGTCGAGTACGGCATTTCTAGCTTTGTCCTGCGCTCGCGCAAGCCGTTCCACCCTCAACGACTCCATGACCTGCTGCGAGACGAATCTGCAATGCAGTCCGTCATCCGCTCCAAAGGGTTTTTCTGGCTGGCCAACGACATGAAGTTCAACTACATCTGGAACCAGGCCGGGCGCCTGGGTTCGTTCATCCGCGGAGCTCACTGGTTTGCCGTCCAGGACAAGAAGAACTGGCCCAAGGGCACCAAGGAGAAGCAGGCCATCTTGAAGTCATGGCACCCCAAGTTTGGCGATCGTCGCCAAGAGATGGTGTTTATTGGCCAGATGGACAAGGAGACGGTAAGAGGCGGAGCATGTGTGACATGTGATATTCATCATCGGATGTGATGAGGTCCAATCTAGTCGATGCAACAGGCTCATGTGGTGATGAGCTTATTGTTTGCGTGGTTGGCGATGCTGGTTGTTAGGTTCTTGCTGCGTTGGAGGCGTGTTTGTTGACCAACGAGGAGCTGGCTCAAGGCCCTGAAGTCTGGCGCACCTACGAAAATCCGATGATGTCGCTGCTGACGCGCGAAGAAGACGAGAGTGATTGGAGCGATGAGGACGTGCTCGAAGAGGAGATTGGCGTCACCCGCGAGCAGGATCATCCCGAGACCGCGGATGACGACGACAAGTGCGATCGTATGGATGTGGACGACGCATAATCTGTATGTGTGCATGTGGTGTGCTATTGTGGTGGTCGTTTCGCTTCAAGCAAGCAAGGCGATGGCGAGAATTTTGATTGTTTTCCGTTATTTGCATGTGCTATTCTATGATGCCCTTCCTCAAGAGAGTGCAATACAGTACATGGTTGGGTTTCCATTCTGGTTGAGAATTTAGAGTCTTGGATGTTGCACGGACTGACGACGTCCAAACGACAGACGAGAAGGGTTTGAAGTTGATCATCGCGGCAATAATGGAAGGAGTCCGATCTGATTCTCAAACCATAAGCGACCCTGATCTCTTCACAATGCCGTTTTGCAACTGCACTTGCTCCATCCAACTCGAGACCTGTCAAAATCGGCGTCAGTCTTGTTTTGGGTTGCATGCCAATTTTGACAGTTCTCAAAACTCGCTCGAGATGGCTTTCGCAGGTACCTCGCTTCACACCATCGCCCAACCCCGCCCAATCTCATGCTATATCTGTCCAGTTGGTGTTGAATCTGCTTGCCAATTCTGAGGCTGTGTGTCCGATGGCGCCCGTTGAGACTCGACCGCATGTCGTTTCACTTTTGGCGCGTCTCGCTCCTCTCGTCCTGCTTTTGCCCCCTTCGCTGTGATGTGCATTGTGTCACTTCTCTTCGAGTCATTGACCACGCTGCTCGCCGATGCCACAGCAACGAAACAGCGAAAGCAAACGCAACGCAACCCCAAACAGCAAAAAAAAAAAAAAAAAAAAAAAAAAAAAAGCGCGGGAAATCCGTTTTGTTCGTTTGCAGCGTTTTGCAAAGTCGGTCCTTTCTTTGTTGCTCGCGCCTTTTCGACGCTTTTTGCAGTTGACCTATTGAACTATGGCGCTTTTCTCCAACGTTTCGACTACTTGCGGGATGTGCCTAACCCTATCGCTGACCCGACTTTGGTGCAATCGGCGACTGAGCAGCTGATGACATTGAACTGAGGGCGCCCACTTTGCTCACTCGCATCGAACCTCAACTCCCCTGCTCTTGGACAGACTTGCGCTTTATGATATGCCGCTCGTCAAGCTCGTCGGTCGAGGCTCGCAAGCGCTTGGACCGGGTTGCAAAGGTGAGCTCTGCTGCAGGCGTGTGTTTCGCTTGCTTTCACGCTCTCTCGGGGCTCTGTGTCTCGGCTGTGACTGTGATAACGGTGATGGTTGCACCGACTTCACGACTACGGAACCAACCCATGAACTGTCCAGAACCCGGTCCATGACGATGGGCTTGGATCACTGGAATTGAAAAACTCACGCTGGCGTGTTTGGACCTCGTTCTCGTTCCAGATGCTCAACGACCTCAACTTACATGTCCTGCCAAGCGAACACGATGATAACGACGATGCGGATGAGATTTTCCAAGATTCAATTCACCACCAGCAGCGGAGACTCGCTCGGCCCTATCCAATTCCAGAAGCAGATGGTAACGTCGAGCGTCGAGCGATTTTTGGTCGTGTTGGTTCCGCCCCTTCGCTTTGCTCACGAGAATCGCGGTTGGAACAAAAAAAAACAGTTGTTATGATATGCGATCCCTTCTTTGGGCCAGAATTCGAGCGACTAGTGCACAATGTACGTTGCCAGGCCACGCACGGAATGGAGTCTAATCGGAACCGTCTGCTCACCTTATCGTCATACACACAGCGCATTACAGTGTTAGGTCCGCAATATTTAATGTACATGGTGCGATCTGAGAAGCCCCTATTTCCTCGAGGAGTGTATGTGCAAGTGATTTTGCAGCAAATGTCCCACGATTTTGCAGCTTCGTTTCTCATCCGTTTGTTTCCAACTTTTCTCCCTCCTCCTCCACCACCACCACCGCTTTTCCCCCTCTTGCGTGCTCAGCCGACCAGAGCACCCGATCTATTCAGCCGCATTCACAGGTGTGGTGTGTTGTTGTACTCAATTCGAGAACGCCGCTCGAGGGCATCTCCGCACGCTGATCCAATACATGAATGGCGAGTTTAATCCGGCATTAACGAGCAAGGTAGGAGGGAGTTCAGGATGCGCCCCCACTCGGCTCTACCGATCAACTCACGTCCTTTTTTTTTTTTTTTTTTTTTTGTTTGTTTGTTTTTTCATTTAACCCGCAGGTGACCCATGTCGTCTGCGCTCCGTCTGTCACAAGATCAGAGAAATATCAAGTGGCGGTGCAGCTCGGCATGCCCATCATGTCGGCAGAGTGGGTGGAAGAGACGTGGCGGCGGTGCGCTCTGAAACACTTCTTGGCGACCGAACAACCCGACCTCGTTGCTCTGCGTTTGCCAACGTTCACCAACTGCGTAATTGCCCTCACTGGCTTTAGTGCGCAGTCCCGCTCGACCATTCAGGAGCTCACGGTGGCGCACGGCGGGGTCTATTCGCCCCATGTTCAGTCCAGCACGACGCATCTGCTCGTGCCCGCCAACCACGGACTTGTCCGTTCTGCATCAGCCCTCTATCCCGCGCCACTAAACTACCCATTCCTGGAGGACGGTGACCAAGCGAACGCACTCGAGTCGGAAAAGGCCCGCCTCGCCCTCCAGCCTTCGGCGCATATGGTCAAGATTGTCAGCGTTGAGTGGTTTGCCGACAGCATTGCTGGGCACGTCTGCATGTCAGAGGCCTCGTACGTTCCAGCGCGTGTCCAACAAATGCGTGCCCAAGGTCTGGACTCTCCGCGTTTGATGGACTTGCACGCGGAGGAGACGGTGATGGAGGCGCCCGTTCAGTGCAACCCTTCGCTCTGGCTCGAATCGGATACCGAGCGCGCCGTGGCAAATAAGACGCTGCACGACTCGTTTCTCGACGGCTGCATTGTGTTCTTTTGGTTTGATGAGGCGTCTCCGCGCACCAATCTGCTTCGGCGCCTCCTTTTGGCTGCAGGCGGTCGGCGGTTCAACGACATTACAGACGCAACCACGCACATCCTCCTCGGCAAAGCGCCCAGCAACGACCTGCGGGAGTTTATCGCGCGACACGACGCTGGCCGACGTGTTCAAGTGGTGGGAGCGCTCTGGCTGGCGTCGTGCATTGCAGCAAGTTCCTGGCTGCCTGAGGATGACTTTTGCATTGATTTGCACGCCGTTGATCGCCCTGCACCAACAGCCGTCGCGCCAAAACTGCCGCAGCCCGCGATGCTCCCCTCTGTTTCTCGGCCCGGCACCGCTGGACAAGGGCTTTCGCGGGCCAGCTCGTTTGCCGATTCTGGCATGCCCTTGCAGCGCGCATCCAGCGTGTCCTTTCTCCAAACAGCAGCGCAGCAGCAAGCGGTCGCCAATGTCACAGATCTGGCCAATATGTTTATGACGGCAGGTGCGCGACGCCCCTCTGTCGTGGCCGAAGTTAGACCAGCCGCCGTTGTGGCAACAGCTGCCGTTGTGACTACCGCTCCTCCTCCTCCTCCTCCCCGTGCGCATGTTCGTGCTCATGCAGTCCCGTCCGCAGCCGATGCTTTTCTGCCGCTCAAGGATATGACCATTTGCATCTCCATGTTTGAAAACCCTCGCGACCGGAACGCACTTCGCGACCAAGTCTCCCGGCTCGGTGGCCTATTCACTGAACGGTTTTCTCGAAAGTCGGACGTTCTAGTATGCGGCAGCCCGCAAGGAAGCAAGTTCGAGACGGCGGGTGCTTGGGGTGTGGTCACGGTGAGTCGCGCCTGGTTGGACAGCTGCGAAGACTCCGGGACGCGCGTTCCGTTTGAGCACTTCCCGATCGCGCCACCGCCGGCCGTCGCCTCGGTAACGAGCGGCAATCCAACAGCAGAGTGGGTTAACGGCGCGGCAGACGCGGCGCTCCACCAGCTGGACGACGGTCGTGGAATCGCTGCCGCTCCCACTGTGACCGTTCTCTCGCAAGAGAGTGCTTCTCAACGATATGCGCCGTTGGTCGTATCAACAGCAACGTCCTCTCGGGCGACAGCATCCATCCAGCCTGTCGCGGCAGCACGCAAATCAGCGAGACGTGGGCGCAGCGCTGCAGCCAACTCAACCCAGGTTCCTGCCGCACAAGAACTGAACATCATCTCATTGACCTCAAAACCGACGACTGCACTTCCGCCCAAGCCAGAGCCTGTCGAAGTAGACGCTCCTCTTGCTGCAGAGGCTTCAGAACACACGCCTCAGCAGCCAGTCACTCCTGGAAGCGGCTCTGGGAGTGCCGTGGATTCGCTGCTCGTTGCCAAAGCGTTTGAAAAGCTAGCCGCCGCATCCACAATGCCAAAGATGAATACTCGGCTTCGAGCGCGCCGACTCTTGAGCACTACCAGTCGAAGCACCACCGCTGTGGAAGCCGCCAACAACTCAGCAGTCGCCCCAGCAGCTGGAGCCGACGACGAAATGTCGCTTGACGATGATGGCTTGTCGAACGGACAGCACAGCAACGACGGGGCGGTTGCGAACGGCCCGTCTGGTCCCACCACGTTCCAAGCGGCATTCCAGGCCCGCCGAGCCACCTCCACCTCGCCCGGCATTGCAAACGCTGCGGTAGGGTACACGCGCACCTTTTCAAACGCGCACGATCGGAGTGTCATCTCCCCAACCAGCGCGCTTGCTGCGGGCGCGGCAGACCGCGATGGGGTTGCACCTCCCGCTCTGCGGCTGTCTCGCGCCGATAGCGCCGCTCATGCAACGTCTGTCAGTGTGATTCACGCTTCCCGCCGAGCTGGAAGTGCAGCCGTAGGCGTTGGAGTTCCTGGAGCCGGTAACGGAGGTGGCTACGATGCGTACTCGCAAGAAGAGTCTGTGACGTACGACAATCCCGAATCCCGTGCACAACGCGAGAACATGCGAGAGCAGCTTCGGCAGAGCATCGCAGGAACTGCCGTCCCTTCGGCGGGGACAGACCTCGCAAACCTCCCCGCAAATGCTGCGTTGAATCGAGGAGGTGGGCCAGCGAGCAAAAGCACCGCCACGGCCGTGGCTCGCGGCGGCGGACGATCCGCGATCGCGCCCAACGATGCACATGCCGAAACCACTCGCCAGTCGCTCCACCAGCTGCAGTATCACACACCAGGAGACAGCGCGCAAGACTCTGGACAGTTTGACTCGAGCCGCAACAAGCCACGAATGTTCTTGCTGTCAGCCATCGCCGAGGACGAAAAAGTCGCCTTGGCTGGTGTTATCGAATCGCTTGGCGGCAAGGTGTTGGTCACGGCCTACTATTCGACCGCCTGCACCCATCTGGTTGTGAGCACGCTCGGACGCAGCGAAAAGTACATGGCCGCGCTGGCTGCCGGTCGCTGGATTTTAAAGCCGAGCTACATTTCTGCAAGTCGCGATGCTGGGCATTTTGTGCGTGAAGAGGACCACGAGTGGGTGCCTGAATCGAATGTGAGTGATTTTCTTGACGGGCGGTTCCTTTTTTTTTTTGCGGCTGCTTTTGTTGGCCTGTTTGCTCTGTTTTCGTTGGCCTCTTTGCTCTGACTTTGCGTTCCTTCGGCTTTTTGTTGTTGCTTCTTCAGACTCATCACAGCCATCAGGTGCTCCTCGAGCCGTGCCGCCGCTGGCGGTTGTTCCTGGAAAGAAAACCCGAGCTGACGGGCGCCTTTCATGGGTGGAGAGTCATGCTATGTGTTGACCAAGAGCGTCAGCACGGCTTTCAACGCTTGCTCGAGGCAGGTGGTGCGCGTGTCACCTTTGGGAGCGCTGCTCGAATTGCGCAGGCGAATTCTCAGGCACTTGCCGAACCGGCAGCGCCCCTGCTTTTCACGCACGCATTTGTCGACATTACGCAGCACCACTTTGGTGCGCATAACTTTGACGCTCTGGCAAAATCAGGGACAGAGTGCCTCAAGCCAGAGTACATTGCGGATTTTCTCGTTCAGAATCCACCACCGGCGCCCGATCGCTTTCGCATTTTCCAAAGTGGCTCGTCGGGGGTCAGCGACGGCAGTGCGGAGGGGTCGAGACGAAAACGAACAGCTGCTGCGGCTCAACTTGGCGGGGCGGACTCCACTTCACCTCGCACGCGCGCTCGTCGCTGAATCCTTGTTGGTTTCGCTCGCTCTCCCTCTCTCCCTTGGATAATTGTGTGATGGAGAACGATATCAACTGGTATATTTTTCATTGTATTATTACATGTTAAGATGAATCAAGTGGAGATTTGTTTTGATCAATTTTAAAAGAGATGGAGAATCCTGGCTCAATGAAACCTCTGGTGGTGGTCGTAGTGGGGGTGTTGTTCTTGTTGTTGTTGCTGTGGTTTGAAAGACCGCTCGCCACAACACACACTTCATTGAGTGCGGCGCTTCGGATCCAGGAGCTGCAACGGCAATGGAGAAGAATCAATCAAACAACAAAAAGTGAATTACAAACGCAACGCCCCACCAACCAACACACGAAATCACAACCCCCCTCGCTCGAGACGCACCATCAGAGCGGCCTTGATGGCTTTCAAAGCATCGGCAGGAGCCATTGTATAGGCGGCCATTAGGGTTTGGACAAAGTGTTGCTGGAAGTCGTACGGGAGGCCAGAAGAAGGGAAGAAGACAGTCGTGAGGTACTGGATGAACTCTTGGCCAAGGCGGGTCAGGATGGCGCGGACGACCTGCGCAATGTTCTGCACAACCTGTTGGAGCGCGCGTCCAAACGTGATGCCAATATGAGCATTAACGATCGAGAAACAACAACAGCGACCCAAAAACGCAATCATGAGCAAGCAACACACCAGAATAGATTGGCCGTCGGCAAAGTTGAACGATGGCGAACTGCAGACTCCAAAACAGGTAGGGACGACTTGGTCAAAGACGAATTGGTTGAAGCCAGCCACGCCTCCAGTGCCGTCAGCAGCATTGCACCAACATTCAATGGCTCGCACTAGCGCTGCAAGACTGCTCTTTTGCACCTGTCAAAGTTCACGTCGGGGAAAGCACAACATTAGTTCAACCAAATTCGTCGCAAATAAGTCGGCACAAATGCGACAGTTGAAACACTCACCTCGGGGTCCGACAAGTCGCCGCTGCCACGAATCAAAGTTGACAAGAGCTGAGTCAAGCTGTCAATGTTGGCTGAAGAAAATGAAACGGGACAAAACAAAAGAAAGGCAAGACAAAGTAAGAACAACAACCGAGAAGCTTGCACAAAACAAAACACACTGCACACAAACTTCGTTACCTGATGAGAGGAAGACATTCACCAAGTCTCCAGACATGACTTGCTTGAGCAGCGAGAAATATTTGCGGTAAAGAGTACTGCGCTCCTGTCGCACATCCGGATCGCTGGTGTCGGCCTGGACCTCCAGCAATGCAAAAATACGCGTCACAACAGGCAGGAAGGCATCGTTCAAGACATTCTCGAGTTTTGTCTGGGAGGTAGGGACATTCAAACAACAAAAAAAAACACACAAAAAACATATCACAAGTGAGTCGAGTTAAAGCTCAAAACAAAAAAGGAAAACCCTAGGCAAGCGCATCAAAACGCCATACCGTGTACTCGCTCATGAATTGATTGAACAAATCAATAAACTCGGCCAGATCTTTGGGACGCGAGCCCTCGACAAACCCTGCAATGAGGTCGGGAACGAACGGAAGCAAACCCTCGCCCAAGCAAGCCACCATGCGATGCACGAATTGGCGCAGCGCCTGGCGCAGATAATCCTGGCAGTGCGGGAGCTTGAAAACCCGCGACACGGTGCGCAGCGTCTCGATGAAGAGGGCATCAATGCCCGCAGCACGCACGTGGCTGGAGCTCGAAAAGCCCTTGGACAAGTGGGTGATGGCCTGCACGACTTGCCCAAAGTAGAAGGTGTACAAGGGGGCCTCGAGCGGATCCGACAGGAAGAGTTGCTGGTCAAAAGCACTGACAAACCCTGCAAGCATGGGCTCAATGATGGATTGGAGAATCTCGAGCTGCTGCTTGGGAGGGACGGTCTCGGCACTCACCATGTACCCAATAGCCTCGTAGCAATAGAGCTGGTCAGCGAGCGCAACGCCGTTAGAGGATTCGGCTGGGGGCAAATCGACAAAGAAAGCGGCTGGACGTCGAGATGCGATTGGCGACGCGGGTTGCGAGGACGCCAGCATCGAGTCTGGCTGCACTTGCATAATGTCGCGAATGCTGTCGAGAACCAACTCGACGTAAGGGCCTGAAAGCGAGCGCAAATCCCGCACAAACTGGCTGAAAAGATAGGCAGCGCGCCCGCGATGACCGCGCTGTGGGTGGCGAATGCCGCGCCGGTCGAGGAAAATGGTCAGTGCAGCTGGCAAGTACTGCGGCTCCAGACGGAAGAAACGTCGGAACTTGTACATGGTCTCGATGAAGGCAGAAACAACAATGGGGTGGTCGTATGAGGCGACATCCGTTGTCATCAGCACAGTCATCATCGAGGCAAACGCCAGGTTGTACTGCTGCAACAGCGCCGTGGCAGTAGCGGCGTCCACTGGTGCCGCTTGTGTTTGGGACTGCTGGGGGTTGCGCTTTTGACTGCGCTTGCTCTGCTGTTGTTGTAGTTGCTGCTGTTGCTGCTGCTGCTGCTGCTGCTGCTGCTGCTTGGCGTGTCCGTTCATAAAGCCGGCGCCATCGACGTTGCCTGGCGATGTGCCGAAGAGGGCAGCTGCCTCCACGTTGGAGCCTGAGGGCGTCAAGCTGGCCGAACCAGAACCGCCGTTCGACGTGTTCGAGCCACTGGTGCTGCCGCCGCCTCCAAGAACAGAGTGGGGTTCGTTGAACATTTCCTTGGCAACAGACTCGGCCAAATACTGCATCAACAGCAATGCCACCTCCACGTCTTGGAAGGGCACGTTGCGCCAGTTGTTCACATTGTGCAAAACAACGTCGTGGACGTATGCCAGGACGATTTCGGGGCTAACGGAGCGAATCGTGTCAAACAGCTGCTTCATGTTCTTGCGAAGCTCGTACATGTTGAGCTCGTCGTCGCCACCATGCTCAAAGTTGTGGTCGGGCTCGTACTGCATCTTGACCACAACAATGCTCAACATGTCGCTGACAACCTTGTCCGACTCTTGCAGGCGCACAAACTGCGAGGCAAACTCAGTGACGCGCGTCGAGACATCATCGTCGCTGTGGCCCAAAAATCCGAGCATGATGGGCGCAATCTGGAAGAGCAACTCGTGCGCCAGCACGATGCCTTGCTGCAGGATTTCAACATCAAGGTTCAACAGCATGATTCCTTGCTGGCATTTGGTGAGGTTGGACACGAGTTGCGTGCCGACAGACTCGACGAGCTCGGCCAAGGCAATCAGGAGATCCACTTGCTCTTCGTCGGTCGTTTCGCCAGACTCGATATCTCGCGCAATTTTGCTCGAAACGGCATGGATGGCAGGAATGACGCCAATCGACTGGATCAAGGTGAGCTTGACGGCGGGATCTGCAATGCCCTTGCTCACAATGCGCTCAAATCCGGCGCAGGCCTTTTCTGCGAGCGCCGGCTGGAACAAGAAGCGGGTGAAAATGTCGACAAAGCGCGGCACCACCAGGTTGATGTCAATCCACGGAATGTAGTTGGTCATCACCTCCAGAGTGGTGGGCAGCACGTCGGCGGTGGCTGGCTGGGCGAAAAATTCGTTATTGGTGAGCAAGTGGTAAAAGAGCTCAACGATGGCCTCGACCGACGACGCGCGCATGGCGTCCTTGATGGAGGTGTTTTGCGCAATGTCTTGATCGGTGCGGTTGAGGTCGCGGTTGACAATTTCGAGATCGACCTGGTTGAGAATGCGAACCACCATGTCGAGATGGGCCATTTGAGTTTCGACCGTGTTGGCGAGCGTGGACGCCACAGGTGTCCCACCAGGGGTGACTGGTGCAGCCGTGATGGCACCTGTAATGGGAAGCTGGTTGGCGACGAGCGGGGGCGTCATTTGGCCCACCGCCATGCACTGCGCCGTGAGAGGTGAAAGGCAAAGAATGTCCGAGAAGAAGGACGGCCAGCGCGAGGGAAACTCCTCACGAAAGATGACCACCAGCACCTCTGCAAACTTTGTTCGCAGAAACAATGGAACGTCTTCGAAAATAAAGCCAAACACTTGCGCCAGCCAGGCGAATGTCACGAGGCGCAGTGTGTCTTGCTCCTCTGGTGTCATGATCATATATCTGATTCGGGAGGAAGGGGTCACGGGGCAGAACGAGTGAGTGCAAGCCGGGTGGGTGGGGAAAAAAAATGGTTGCTTTTGTCTGCGTCTTTCATCTGTCCCTCAAAACGAGTTTCAAAACATACCGCGAGCGAATGATGGCTTCCAACACGGACAGCGTATTCACCACGATAAACGCGGGGTCGACAGCAATTCCATGCGCAGCGAAAAAGTGCGGACTGAGCAGATTCAGGCCAAAAATGAAAAGTGAGATCGATGATGCAGAAAACAAAAAAATGTCAGGATGCCATGTCCATCCATCTTGGCGTCAGGTCGCAGTCGTGACTTGGACCAGCCCAGAGCCAAAGCTCCAGCGAAAAACCCAAATGAAAAACAAAAACCAAATAAACAAAAACAAAAACTCACTGTGGCGCAGCCTTGATGAACAATGACAATGCGATTCGCCATGCTTCTGGATTGGCAGCTTGGAATTCTTCGAGCAATAGTGGACCCTGCCAACACAAACAAACAAGAGTTGGGGGATGGCAGCAAATCAAGTTTAGTTAGTGAGCGAGCGTAACGATCGTGCCGTGGGATTGATTCTGCCTACTGCGAGGCCACTAAATTCGGCCCATTTCCCTCCCATGTGCTTGCCTGTCAACCTTTTTTTTTTTTGTATTTTTTTTTTTATTTCGCTGTCTCTGCTATTGACTGTGTGTTCTGACTGCGATCGGGGTCGCCGCCGCTGCAGCCGCCCCATCATGAATGAATGGGAACGAGCGCGCCTTCGAGCAACAGCCACAGCAAGCAGCACGAAGCAGCGCCACAGTTCACGGCAAAGCGCCAAAAGACGCAGCCATGCGGATTTCACTTCACGTCCATTGGCTTTTGGAAGGGGAGTTCACTCTGGGTTTGTCCAGCATGATCGAAAAAAAGCGAGACGACGCGCTTTGCACTGAAGCTCAACGTCACAAAACGGGGGGGGGGAAGGGAGAGACAAGAGACAGAGAGAGAGAGAGACGAGCGTGTGGAGATTTGGCTTTGTGGTTCTGTTTGCATCAGAGCCACGATGATGTGGAGAGAGAGGAGAAGGAAGTAAGCGGTCGACTTGCCTGTCCGCGGACGTCTTCAGTGTTGTGCGGCGAGAGCATGTGGATGGTGTGGACGAGCGCGACCTCGTCGGGGCTGAGCGCGGCGACGGACGTGGCTGCCGACCCTGCGCCACGAGCGGCAGCACCAGCAACCCCTGCGGCACCACTGCTGACACTGCGGCGCAGCGAGGACGAGACAGCAGAGCCAGCAGACCCAGCAGACGCGGCGGGGAGTGGCTGCGCGTCAATCACGCCGCGGTACGTCCCCAGCTGGGTCAGCAGCAGCTCAATGACGCTGAGCAGGTGCTGAACGGAGGCCGCACTCGGATCGCCGCCGTCCATCATTGGGGGAAACAAGCAGCAATGACGGGGTGATTGATGCTTTGGGACGGAAAATTAGGGGGGAAAGGTACGACGAGGGATTGGAGAGGGGGGGGCTTGGAGTTTGAATGGGACGAAACGAAAACGAAACGAAACAACAGCCAAAAAAAAAAAAAAAAAAAAAGAATGAGATTTATTATGAGGAGAGACTGATGAGAAACGAGTAGAAAGTACGGTAAAGTACTGCATTGTTGGAATGAATGGATGTACAGCATTGTTACGGGTCGTCGAAAACAACCTTCAATAAATAACCTTCAATTAAACAACCTGAAACAACAACCAGATCAACAACCTGAAAGAAACAACAACATCAGAAAGCACACTCACTCCACTCCACACCACACCGCTCAGTGATTCCGCTGCCAGGGCTCGAGATACGGAACCTTCAGCTGGGCAAACACTTGACGCTCGGTGAGCACGGGAGGGACAAAGGACACTTGCTTGCCATTGTGCGTCCGACCGAGTTGTTCCGACTTTTGCTGATGATGCTGATGCTGCTGCTGCTGCTGCTCGGAGTCGCCACTTTCGGAGTAAATCTGCAGCAGACCATGGCTCGATAGCGTCCAGCCAAGCTCACGCTCGGCGTACAGGCGTAACGAGCGATTGAACTGCTTGGATCCAGTCCAAGCGAGCACCGTGTACGCGTATTGCGTTCTTGGCACGCAAATGATGTCAATGCGCCGATGCAGCCCACTGACGGGGCTCTTGAAGATGGTGAAGCTTCGGTCGGTACAGTCTAGCAGCGGTCGGTGCGTAAAGTCCGAGATGATTGGATAGTGATAGTTAATGATGCGCTCTGGAGTGTTGTGCCCCACTTGGGTGTTGGCATGAACAACGAGCCCGGCCACTTGGAGCTGGAGAAGCAGCTGAGGTAGGAGAAACTCGATCGCGTCAGAATCATTGTGCGTAAAGATAAAGTCGCAGTCCTTGCTGGCCGGCTTTCCGCGCCGGTACCCGCCGCCAATCGTCATCATCACCCCTGGAAGGATGGTGTTGGCGTACTTGTAAACGCAATCGCCCAGCTGTTTGACCTCGTCGCGAGGAACTTGGCTGCCAAGCTCCGTGTGCAACGTCAACCCCCACTCGAGTCGCTCGGCCGACAACGGAAAGTCCGCCACCCACGACCGGTCGGCGCAAATTTCGGCAATCGTTCGATATCCGCGCTCGTACAACGCCTGGGCAATGCGCTGGCCGCAACCGTAGATAGATCGGAACTGCAGCATGGTCGTGTATTTTGGATCGTTCGCCATGCAAGTCGCAGCAGTGCTGCGTCCCTTGTCGAGAATTTCCTTGACGATGGCGCTGGTTGAAGGCCAAAGGGTCAAGATGTGGAAAAGAGGGGGGAGGAGGCATCACGAGAGAAATCAGCCGCCAAAAGGTGCAACGCGAAAAATCCGAGCATGGTCGTTGGAAGATACGAATGTACCGTACCGTGAACTTTGCCCCATGTTGTGGAGCGATTGAATGTCTTGTATCCGAGTCAGTCGTCGGGGAAGCGCGGCAATCACGCACAAGCTCCGACGCATGGCCAGCGCTCGGGATTCGTCTCCGCTCAAAAAATAAAAGTCTTCAATGCAGGCAAGTTGGTCCTACGATAGATTACAAAAGAGCACAAGGGTGCAAAAAGGGGGGGGGGGCGGGGCACTCCAAGGGTGAGCATCGCGAGATTGGAGGGGTTCTGCGCGGATACAAAAAAAAATAAAACCGCGCCATCATCTGGATTGACACATGTCCTACCGTAATGTGCATGTTACTGTGCTGCCGGGGAACGGGAAGAAAGCACACGTACTTGGGGTTGGAGAAGGGGGACGCGCTGGCATTCGTATCTTCCGCACTCGAGTCAGCATCGTCGGTAGAGGAGACTTCACGGTGTCTCATAGCAGGTGGTACCTCGCTCTTGCGTGAAGGGCGAAAGGTCGTGAAAGCTGCTGGGGGATGTGCGGCAGAGGTCGAGTCGAATTCATCCGAAACCAAATCAATGCCATTCTCGCTGTCGCTCTCGAGCCACTCTAACGAGGAGGGCGCTGCTGGACTAGCTGCCTTACAAGCGGCAGCGGTTGGTAACGGAGAATGCGGGCTGGCACTTTCCGTGCTGGACTCCTGCGATGATGGATTTGGAACGCGAGACAGGGCGGATGTTGTTGGGCCTGTGCGAATGACAAAATCTTCATCCGGCAGTCTCCTTCCTCGAACGAGCGAGTTGGTCACCCAGTCGGCCGACAAAACGAGAGGAGCTGCGTGTGACGCAGGCACCTCAAGCTTGACTTTGGTGGATGGAGAGAACTGGGCAATCGCGTTCACCAATCGATCATACGAGAGGTCACTGCCAACAATAATGTGCGTGGTGGATTCTGCATGGTTGCACAAAACCAAAAGATCAGTAAGACAGGCATCCAGACACTCACGCTTCAACAGCACCATTTTTTTTTGATGATTTTTTTTTCGCGCACTCACGAGGCAGAATACAAACAGACGTCGTGCCACCAGCGTGAACAATCTTGCTCTCGAGTAGTGCTTTGCGTTGCTGTGATATTGTTCCACTGGCAAGCACAAATGCTCGCACACCTGTGAAAATTTGATGCGCAACGACGGGGACTGCAACGCTGGGTTTGACATCAACGGTCGGTTTGACATCAACAGGCTCGGATTGCACAGGCGCGGTATGAGGGACAGTGTTGAGTGCATCTGCCTCTTGCTGCTCGTCATCGCCGGACAAAACTTGGAGTGAAGCTGAGGACTCGATCGCAGCTTCAGCAGACTCGCCGAGGGTGATGGAGCCGGCAGACGATTGTGATCCGACTGACACTGTCGCGCCCGCATCCACCACGCTAGTACGACTTGGCCGGACGTCCTCTTGGTCGAGCACAATTTCACCGAGGCTTGACTCGTCACTCGCAATGATCAGCTCGTTCGATTGAGTTTGCGAGTCGACCTCAATGCGCGCTCGCTTGACGATCGGCTCGCCTTGAGGTGCAAGTGACTTGAGAGGTGCTCCATTTTGTCTTGGTTTGCTCTGACTTGGTCCGACGTTATTGTTGCTCCTCAGACCTGCGCTTCTGAGCCATGCGAAGGGAGTGGCGCTCGTCCCAGCCGACCTCGCAGCAGTGGTACCATGCTCGTCAGCGTCCTCTGCTTGATCCAGGTCCATGAACGCGTCGTCGTCATCGTCGTCGTCGTCGGCGTCGGCGTCGTCGTGGCGGCTCAGAGGTCGCAACCGTTGAGGCGAGCGCGGCAGCAACGGAGGCGGAGGCGACCTCAAGCGACGCCGCTGTGGACTACCACTCATTGAGACCAATGTGGCATCCACGGGCCGAGCGTTTGGCGTCCGGTGGGTGGGTGGGCCGTAGAAGGACGAGTCTGGTGTGTGTACGACGAAGCGGGAGGCTTTTCCAATCTGCTGAGAAAGGAGAACTGAGACGAGGTTGGAATGTTTAGAACAAATATTTAGATCCAACTAAGGATTGTAGATCTAGACATGAGAATGACTTGACTTTTGACTGGCTGAAGCGAAAGCGCTGTCAAGACCCAATGCATTCAACGAGTCGAGTTGAAGCCCCCCCCCCCAATCTCTCTCTCTCTCTACTATCGGATTACAATTGCAACACACACTCACTCACACACTAACTCGAAATTGAAGCCAACTTTAAACTCAGTCTTTGTGTTTCCTATTGTTCTAGTACTGTATGATGAGTGACGACGACGCTCCTTCTGCCTCTGCCTCTGCCTCTGCCTCTGCCTCTGCCTCTGCCTCTGCTCCGACTGCGACGCCGCGGCGCCTGGATCAGCTGCTGAGCGAGTCACAGCTGGCTGCGACGGACGGCCAGACAGACAAGGGCCTCGCCACCGTCTCGCTCGCCGCCATCTTCAAGTTGCTGCAGAACGGTGCGTTTTTGCCACACCACTCACTTTATCACTTTGGACGACCAACAAGTCCAAAACACAAACGAAATGGATTGCTGTGGCATGAACAGTGAAACGACCCGCGAGCGGCGAAAAAGAACAAAGAACAGCGAGAACGAGTTAGGATTTTGAACAGAGCAAGGAATTTTGGATGGAATTGTCAATCCCAGTTTAGTGAACCTCGCTAGGCGGAATTGAATCGATTAGCCCTGAAACGCACCTCCTACGGAATTGCTCACTAGACCGTGCTTGTTTTCTCAATCTCAATCTCTCTCTCTCTCTCTCTTTCTCAATCTCTCTGCCCGTCCCTCTGCCTGCGCAGCTTCCCAAGTCCCGAATCAGGCGCCGCCCAAGGCCATCAGCTTCCTGTCTGTCAAGCTCGAGGGTCAGACGACCAACGCACACCATGCAAAGTGAGTCATACAAACTCAGACCCGGAGCGAAACAGAGATGGAACAAAAAGAGAGAGACAGAGACAGAGACAGAGACAGAGAGACCTTGTCAATGAACAGACAGGACAGAAAGCGAGACGATGGCTTGAATGTGAAGGGCCGACTTGAAACTCACCAACAATCTGCATTCTCATTTGCTCACTGCTCTAGATTCAAGTGCGTGTTTGACATCCTTGTGCTGAACAACGGATGGAACATTGCCAAGCTCTTGATGGATAAGGTGGCCGTGGTCAGCTCTTCGATTGTCCGCACGGGCCTCGACCCGCTGACGGAAGACGCGATTGTGAGTGCGTCCATGCCGTTCGTCCAGCCCGCCGTCGCTATTATGGACCAGCACCACTCGCTTGTTTGCAACCGGGCAGGCCGCTACACTGTGGTGATGGAGGCGCTCTGCCCGTTCACGACGACGCGCGAGAGCGGTGTCAAGCTCGACTTGCCCGTGTCGTCGTTCACCGAGCTCGCCTTCACGGTCGCACAGCCTGATGTGGACATTTCGGTCGAACCCTGCCTCAAGTCCGAGCGCAATGCAGCGCCCGCGGCAGCAGGCACAACGTCCGTCCAGTGCCGCCTGCCTCCAACTCCCACCGTTTCCATCCAGTGGACGCAAAAGATTGTCGAAGACACGAATCAAGTCGCCAAAGAGCAGCTGCCGTTGCATGCCATCGTGGAGCAGCAGCACCTCATGTCTGTGGGCGAGAGCATGCTCCTTGTTGCCTCGCGCTTTGACTACACCATCCAGAACGGCTCTCTGTCTGTTCTGGAGATTCTGATCGACCACAACCTGCGCGTGTTGAATGTGGAGACCTCAACCGGCTCGATCAAGCGTTGGGATGTGTCCACCATCAACCCGGACGAAGCGACCTACAACGAGTACAGCCTGCCTTCCGAGGATGGGGGTGATTCTGCGCTTCCTCGCCTTGCCGGCAAGCCTCGACAGGTTCTGCGCGTGTTGCTCGAGTACGGTATTGAGAACAAGTTTGATTTGCGCATCTCGAGTGAGCAGGAGCTTGGCTCGACGTCGTGCCGATTCTTCCTGCCTTCCTTCCGGCACGTGCGCGGGCCTGTGACGCGTGAAAAGGGCTTTATCGCGATTGAGGCACGCACAAATGTCGAGTTGGACCAGCTGGACACCATGGTTGGCGTTTCCTACATTGACGTCAGCGAGTTGCCCAATGAGCTCCGCTCCCGCGCTAACAATCCGCTGCTGCTCGCGTACAAGTACCTGCTGCCAGTGTACGATGTTGAGCTCGAGGTCAAAAAGCATGCCGATGTCGACGTCCTCGTGGCTGCGATCGACGACGCGCACTTTGTTGCAACCGTGACCGAGGAAGGCAAGATCATGTTCAATCTCGTGCTGCGAATGCGAAACACGCAAAAACAGTACCTGCGCATTGTTATTCCACCAGAGTGCGACATTTGGTCGACGGTGGTCAGTGGCACGGCCGTCAAGCCCGCCAAGGACAATGAAACGGGCGAGGTCATGATTCCACTCAACAAGGTCAAGGACAAGTCGTCTTCTGGCTCGGAATCCTCTCCCAGCTTTTTTGTCGAGCTCCTGTATGTGCGCCAACCTACCCCCGAGAACCGCGCTCAACTGGCAATGCAAGCACGAGGCGTCTTCCACTTGTCCTTCCCCAGCGTGGACATTCCGGTCAATCACCTCTTTGTGTCTGTGTGGATGCCCCTCGACTTCAAGTATGGTGAATTTGACGGCGATCTGCGCGAGGTTCAATACTTTGGTGCCACGCCGCCGGTTGCGACCACCCCCGAGCCGTTCGAGTCGTTCAGGAACGAGTATGGCGGCGGCCTTCCGCCACCCCAGATACAACAGCAGCAACGACTGATGCGCAAGAACTCTGAGAGTGACGAGGACGATGAACAACACTGGGACTCGTACGATCGACGGGCCAGTATTTCGCTCAATGAGGCTCCTGCCATCTCGTCCTACCTGAAAGCTGCTCCCAAGGCAAACAAGCAGCGCGGGTTCAATGTCGGACACCATATGAAGCACGGCGGTGTTGTGCCCGTCAAGGTCGACATGATCAAGAGCGGCCGCGAGTTCAAATTTGAGCGACTCCTTGTTGTTTCACAGCTCCTTGAACTCCAAGTCTCCTACAAGAAAATTCAGAAGGGTTACTTTGCCCAGCGCCGCATCCACAAAAAGTATTTGTGCTGCTAGAGTGCGAGGCTTTGTGTTTTCGTTTGTGTGTTTGGTTGTGTTGTGAGTTGGTTTGTTGTGCTTGTTTGGTTTAGTTGTGTTGTGTTTTGGTGAAATATCAGTTCTGCGATCGCTGGTCGCGTTTCTTGCTTCTTACTTTTGGTTTTTGACCATTCTCAAGGACGGCAGGAACAAACACTTATTGCGAATAGTTTAATCGAAAACGAGGCAAAAAATCGAAAACTCCAAAGCGACAAAAACAAAAAAACAAAATGGAACACAAAGGATTGTCTAGAAAGACCCAACAAGGGGATTCTGAGTGGACGGAGAGATGAGCGTTCACTTCCATACAAGCCGATTGCCGATCAACACAACCTGGTCTGTGGGCTCTTCTAGGTGGTGGTGGTTGCTAATCACTTCGAGCTTGTCGTCGTCGTCGTCGTCGTCAACATCGCCTTCACCATCCTCGGCGTTGGCCAAAAGCCCCGCCCGGTCGGAATAGTTATTGGAGGCAATGGTGCCTGGCACAGCACCGAGCTCGAGATCTTGGGGAAGAGCCGAACTTGTTTCGGCGTCTCCTCCGCCAGCCGCTGCTTGTTGCTGCTGCTGCAGTTCAATTTTTCGGAGTACTCGCTGGCCAATAATCGCAAGAACGATAAACAGCACCACGAGTAATACAGCTTCGACAATGATCGAGACCAGCTCTGGCGTTTCCAAAGGGCGGTCGCCCGAGGCAATGTCTGCAATGCTTTCCATGCGGGTGCCGAGATAAACCATGAGAACTTGCTCGGGAACCAATCCAATCACACTTGCCACCGCGTAGGTCATGAAGGGAACTCCCGAGATGCTGCACACGACATTGACAATACCGATCGGAATTGGAGTGACGCGACCGAGCACAACAAGCTTCCAGCCGTACTCCTTGACGGCTCGCATGAATGCCTCGAGCTTTGGCTTGCCTGCCAGAGTGCGCTCCAGCTTTGCCTTCCATCCCGTACTGAAAAGCGAGTGAGGAACGCACACAGAGGAGACAGGAGAACGAAAAAATACCAAAAAACACACGAACGATTAGTAACCACAAAACGCACGCACACGCACACGCACAAGCACAGAGAAGGGGAAAGGCACTCAACTGGCAAATGTAGAAAATCATGCACACGCCAATGGAGTTGGCCACGACCACAATCAGCATTCCAAACCCGATGCCATAAACGTAGCCAGTGGTGAGGCCAAGCAAAAAGTAACCCAGCCCGAACGGGAATGCCGTGACTGTGCAATTCCATCCCACACACCGATCAGACAAGGTGAGTGACAGCAAAATGCATGCATCCAACGATGGAGAGTGATTGTAACCCTCAGATACTGTATTGTCAGATTTTAGCTCTGTTTGTTTGTTGCTGGGCATTTTGTTTTCGTTGTTGCTGTTGTTGTTTTTGTTGTGACCTCACGTTAAGCATTCGGCACTCTGTTGTTCTTGCTGATCTTGTTGTTGCAATCTGGGGGGGGGGGCGGAGGTAGGCTGAAAGTGGCTGCTGCGAGTGACGTCGCCTCCGCTCCCAATCCCCAACCCTTTCCTCTTGACATGCTCGCCCCGCTACAAGTCCTCCGTCCTCCGTCCTCGTTGACTCGCCATCGCTCATCCGTCATCATCCTCAACTTTAATAACGCCTTCGACCTCAGAGCTGCCAAGGTTTGAAACGTTCGGATGCTAGCATCGCGCCATGTGAGAATTGGTCCGTTTCGACTGCTTCGTACAGAGAAATCCAGCGCCAATGAGGAAGGCGCCTGCGACCTTGTTCTCGGAGATCCATGTCATGGCAGACTGAATGAGGCCAAAGTAGAAGGCGAGTGCGACGGCGGCTCCGACGACAGCAACCACCGCAACGACCATCGCGAGATACTTGGTGTGGGACCGCGTCCAATGGAAGGCCTGCCATTTGGCTCTGACCGACGCCAGCCACCCCGCGCCAGAGCCAGAGCCAGAGCTAGCGCCAGAGTCAGACATGTGTGTGTGTGTGTGTGTGTGTGTGTGTGTGATGCAATCCAACAAGATTGAAAAATTGATGGAAGGAAGAAAGAAAAGGGGGGAAGAAAAAAAAAGGGAGACTGAGAGTCTGAGATTCTGAGATTTTCGACGAATCGCAAAATGCATTGGGGGCAGGGTTCTTCTGACGAATCAACCTCACAATCTCACTCGGATGATATTTCAGTCAGTCAGTCGTCTTTCCAATGGAGCGCCACGCAACAGGTCTCCGTTTCATGGACGCTGTGCTGGACAAGTACTGCAGCGATCCACTGATGTACATCCCGAGTGGCGACATGATGCTCTTCCGCGTGGCTCGCACAGACACTCAGCCCAGCAATGGCAAGAACAAGAACAAGAACAAGGGCAGAGTCAGCCAGGATGACCAGGACATGGAGCAGGAGGACGCTGCTGCGTTCACTCTCGTGCAGGACAGCCGCTCAACGCAGACCCCGCACGCCACTTCAACGACCGCTGCTGCTGCAAAGGAGGAGGACCACGATGGGCACGCTCGGACAATCCAGCCCGAGACTGTCGCTGCTGGCGCTCGAGTCGCTGCTCAAGTAATCGCAAACCAAACCGTGAATGATGACGCTCAAACGCCGACAACAGCAATCAAGGGCGATGCATTCAGGCGCGCCATGCTGGGACGCCTGGGCATTGTCAGCGTGGCCAATACTGCGCTCCAGTGCACGGGATACTCGCTCGACGCGTACCGGGAGCTCGACGGGCTGTTTCCAAAGGTCACCGAGCTCGATCTCAGTGGCGCACAGCTGACATCATTTGGCGACGTACTCGCAATCTGCCGCTGGCTGCCAGCTCTGCAGACACTCAGCTTGGCACACAACCCAAAGCTGCAGCGCCTGCACTCGATGGAGCATTTGCACTCGCTGATGGGGCCAGACCACGAGCGTTGGTTTGGGAGCGCTCCACCTGTGCACGCGCTCAGCTCCGAGCCAACGCCGCCTCGTGGCATCCACCACACGGACAGAGCACCGGCCATTCGAGATCTCTTTCTGGGCGGCGTCAAGACGGATTGGACGACCCTTGCCGTGCTGCTCAGCTTGCCACTCTTCCGCCATGTCAAGTCGCTGAGCTTGAGCCACGATGCCATCGCCGATTGGACGGCGTCGCTCACCGAGGTCGAGCATGATCTTCTCAGTCAGTCGGCGCTTGGGTTGTCTGTAGAGAGCCTGGACTTGAGCAATGGAACGCTGAGTGATTTGGCGTCGTTGGCACGAGCTGTTGGTTGGATGCCGCAGCTCACACGTCTCAACCTTCGGAACAACCGCCTTGCTGACGCAACCTCGCAAGAATGCAATAGCACGAGCGGCGTCAACAACACCAGCAGCAGCAGCAACAGCAGCTTGTATTCTTCGTTGGAGCAAGGTCAAGCGAATGGCGACTCAGAGCCGAAATTGTTCCCCAAAGTGCGTCAAGTTGTTTTGGCGCAAAACTCCATTGCAAGCTGGGCTGGCTTGGATGCCGTTCTATCGGTCTTTCCAGCTCTAGCGGAGCTTCGAGTGGCCGAAAACCCGATTTACCAACTTCCCGAGCTGTTTCGAATCCACTCGGAAGCCACCTTGGAAGCCACCTTGGACTGGGCTGATGGCACCGCATCGGCCAGTCGCGTGGTACCTGCTCAAGAAGAGTCGCGAATGCTTGTTATTGCGCGATATCCAGCGCTCGTTCAGTTGAATGGCTCTGATATTTCATCAGCCGAGCGCCACGATGCTGAGACTGCCTGGCTTTCTCATTATCGGCAAAGTCGGTCCCTTTTCACACAAGCTGGCTCTTGTGATCCGTTACACATTCACATGGCGTGTGCTGAGCGTTTACTCCAGGCACGAGGACAGTCGTTGCGGTATGACGAGTTGGCGGATTGCGATTAGGTTACTTTGCGCAAAAAAAAAAAAAAAAAAAAAAAAAAAAATCGAACTTTAACTAAATTTACATGAGCAAAAGGCATCTGAGTAAATGTGACAATAGAAGAGCGTGCGGGAGAAGCATGAATGAATGCGAGCCGAGACTGGACACAGACAGGCTTTGGATTAGAGGATGAAAGCCACCGAACTCGCCTGGCACGCCGGTGCAGAGGGAATGGTCTCGGAGGACGAGGGGACCTGACTAGCACGCGGCTTGACTTGAACTGATGCCTCCAAAGACATTCGAGGCAAGATGGTGTTGACAAAGCCATAAAACGAGAGACTGTTCCCACTCAATACGGCATACTTGATGGGCACCGGGTAAGACAGGCAGGCAAGTTCCTGCAACCGAGAGAAAGAAGGCGGGGGATCGCTGTATCTGCAGCATGGCCAACGCAGTCAGTTCACGAGCCGCAGCAGACACCACGACCACAAAAAATAAAAAACATAGCTCGCCACACACGTACTTGCATACTACAACACGAAAGTCTGGTGCTCCAGGCGCACTCTTTCGGAAGGCTTGTTGCGGCTTGTACACATCGAACTGAATAAAGTGCAAACGGGTGTCGGCAAATCCCAGAATTTTGCGACGCTGGTTGTCCGTCAGATTCGATGCGGTAGACGGCCGCGTTCCGACCAAGCTGAACGGGTGCCGAGACTGAACGAGCGCAGCTTGCTTGAGTGCGTCGGCCAGTGACGCACCGCTTGCAAATGTGGCGGGGGACAGGAGGGGCTGAGTTGGACCACGCTTTTCGGTGCTCGGTGCCCGCTCTGGGACACCAAAGGCAATGGTTTTGTCAAAGACAGACTGATCACTTTTGGTCAGTTCTTCTCGTGTGCGGGGCTGGACGTTGGCTGCCGCTGGTGTTTCTGGGGTGAGGGAATCAATCAAGGAGCTCTTAACTGGATGGGAGAAGCGACGAACGACATAGCCCAACCGCTTCAGGTGAATAAAAAGCTAGAGCACATCGTGCATGCCAGACGAGGAAAAGCCAAGGCAAACAATGAGAACCAAGAACAGAGACACACACAAAACCAAAACAACAACAACAACAACAACAACCAGAAAAAAAAATCAAAAAACCAAAAAAAAACCAAAAAAAAAAAAGGCGCTTGACTATTACCTGCAGCGTTTCCATGGCAAGCTCTCCGTGGCATAATACGGCAATTGCTTCTTGAACAGATAATCGACGGCCTTCGTGTACAATATCGATTCGCCCTCGATCTAGCAAGTAGATTGCTTCCTCGGGCATGAGAACAACATTGCTGCCATACGTGTAGCCTTGTGAAATCATGTGATTGCCGCGTTGCAGAGTCACAACGCATACCACTCGATTGTCTTCAAGCTGGGTCCGGCATAGAGATCTGTCGTTAATTGCAAATTCACCAGTGCAAAAACAAAAAAAAAAATGGATTGAGTGACAAGCAAAGGCAACCAAACCACATCAAATGTACCCTGTCATGGCACAGCACAATAACAGACGAGCGCACAATACGCATACCTTGTGTAAAACCGATCTTTTGCGAGCTGTCGCTTGTAATCAAAGTACGAGAGTCGCAGGCTAGCAAACTGCTTCATCGATCCATCGCGAGCAGCAAACTTTTCGCCGAGCTTTCTTGAGTGTGGCCGCAGCAGGTTGAGATAAGAATTGCGCGGATTGGCGAGCTGGGTGCGAAACTGAGCGGCGTCGGCAGGCGACAGCATTTCGTCCACGAGTCGCATGCGATCCACCTCGTCCACCGCTTCGTCCGTCAGCGCACTTGGAGTACATTCTTGACGCTGCTCCTTCTCTTTCCGACGCGACGCTGGTCGTGGAGCAGTCCTTGGGTCCGAGTGGACGACCATTGGAGTAGAGGTCTGCGCTGGACCGCCTTGCTCGTCCGCTGTGTCGGCCTCGGGCACACTTGCAAGCGAGCAGTGCGCTGCTGTGTCTGCTGTGTCTGCTGTGTCTGCTGGCTCGTTGATGCGCACCCGCTTGACTCGTGCACTGTGCGCCTCCTCCTCGTCCTGGCTCGCCAATGTCAGTCCAGCAGCGCCAGACGTTGCTCCTCGGTTGCCTGCGTCGTCTGCGCTGGGCACGAACGCGGCTGGCTGGCTCGCTCTGTTTGTTTTGTGCAATACAACATCACTCAGTTCATCACGCAATGGCACGACAGTTGGATGGATGGCTGACAATCATCCTCTTGGTGGGGCTTACGGCGAGTCGTAACCGATCGCGGCATTCGCAGCAGCAATCGCGGCAGTCGTCGCTTCCGTCGGCGGTGCAAGATTCTCGCCCATCACACTCGCACTGCGCTTGAGCGGCATTGTCACAAACCCGCACAAGACAGCAACAGTGAGTGTGACGGAGGACTGACCACAAAAAAAAAAAAAAAAAAAAAAAAAGACAGTAAAACTGAGACTGAGACTGACACTGAACTTGGATTTCACTGCTCCCTCAGGTTCGGAGCTGAAGCACACTTGTTTGAGTTGACGGCGTAGCTGAGAGGCCGAGTGACAGATTGAACTGGGTGTTGTTTTTTTTTTTGTTTTTTTTGGTTTTGTTTTTTTTTTTTGGTTTTTTTTTTTTTTGGTTTTTTGTTTTTTTGGGCAAGATTGAGCTGCGGCGTGGTATGTGTATGAGTGTGGTCGGGTTTCTGACAGACGCCAAGTATTGAAGACGATAAATCATGCGTAAATATCACGAGAAATTGCTGCTGTTGAAGCCAGGGACGCGCACAATCAAAACGATCGAATTTCACGATGGAAAATTGTTGTCCAAAGTTCTGCAGACCGAACGTTCTCACTGGGTCGGTGTTCTGCCAACTTCCGGATGCTTGGGTTTGCTTGTTTCATGGATCCGCTTCAACGGCGGTTGCGCACTTGGTGCAGATGCACCGCTGAAATCAACCCCAATCTTCAGACATGAAAACAAAAGTGAGCTCAAATCGGTCACTTCCCTTACTTGTACCGCTGGCAGTCTTGCGGCACTCGGTCCTCGCTGCACACCAATGCGTGTCAAAAATCATTCAAATGTAATACAAGTGAACGCTGACGTCAAGCGTGCGGTGTGCGCTGAAAAACGAGCGTTGATCGGTTGTTGCGTTGTTTGCAACGATGGGTGTCACTTCCGCGAGCTTGATCCCGGCCTGTGATAAAAATTTGAAGTATGGTGATTAGCGCATTCATTGTCGTGCAGTTATGCTCAAAAAGTGTCGCAGAAATTTCAGTCCAGTGGTAGTAGCACCGTGGAAACCTAGCGCTCAAAGAACGCCTGCGGCCGACTTCATGTTTCGCCACAGTGGAAAATTTTTTTCCGAATTTCGGAAGAAAATACGCCGAATTTTGGTCAAACAGTTTTTTCCACTCCATCTAGTATTATTCAAAGCAACGAGCGGGGCAAAAGAGGCCAATGCAGCGACAGGACAGGCAATAACAGGAAACGAGTGAGCTTGTTCTCACCGTTTGCGTGTCTTTTCGCGGTGTTTCGTGCTTCTTTTCTCGACTTGTAGTATTCTGAGATATAATGACATATTGTCCAATCGAGATACGCGCGATTGGAGGAGGATGAGAAAGTGTAGTTTTTAAACTGCAGAAATGCAGTAGCTGGATTGTTCGTGATTTTTTTTTTTGCTTTAGTTTGGGCTGCTTGCTTATTTGTGAGACGTGCTACTGAGGGTCGGATGAGGGACGATAAGTATCAGTAGGTGATGTGTTGTTCCTTTGTACGACTTGAAGAGAGCCTTGATTGTCAGCAGCAAGGAGCAAATGGCAAACAGCAGCAGCAGCAAATCCAGCGTAAAGAACGGCTGGACGGTGGTGTCGGCCACTTGCTTGCTGACCAACAAAACAAAACAAAACAAACAAAACAAAACAAAACAAACAAACAAACAAAAAAAACCAAACAAGCAAACCAAAGCTTCGCCTTCCCAGTTTCCAATCCTTGCATTCCATCGAAATGGACAATTGCAAGCAAACACAAAGATGAGGAGGAGATAGAGAGTAGAATGACGCTTTGAAACGAACCTGGTTTTGTTTTTCATTTCAGTGCTTTTTTGTTTCTTCTTCTCTCAGCAATATTGTCGTATCAGAGTAGAGAGGCGTCTCTAATTCCGAACAGAATTTTTTGACTGGGCCACCATTACGCCCCTGATTTTAATTCCGAACAAGAGTGTTTTTGAGCCACTAGTCGATGTAGAAGCCTCTAATCCGCTTCCCCGCTTGAAACTATAGTAAACCCAGTCTTTTTTATCGATGGAGGTAGAGACCGAGGCGGCAGAGTTGTGCTGCGAGTGTCGGTGCAGACAGTGACTGCTGGTCCTGTGGGAGGAAATGCGCAATGAGCAGCACAGCAGCCCAGGACAGCTCCTGTGCCATTTCCGGCGCCAATAATGATACAGATGGGAGTATGTGGGACGATGCTGATCATAGAGTCGTGCACGTGCGGCGCAGTGACACACAGAGCGGCAGCGACGGGGCATTCACTCGAGCCCGATCCATCGTGGAAAATTTTCGCATGTGCGTCCAGCCCGCGATTATGCACAATCACGAAGACGATGTATGCGATTGCATTTCACAACGAGCGGGGCTCGAAACCTCGATTCAGGCTGGGCACGCACCGTCTCGACTGATGAACTTGTCAACGCGTTGACTTTGCTCCTGCAGTGCAACCATCGCCCCCGCCTGTTCATAGAATAAACAAACATGTTGCATGTATCACTTTCCGCGCAAAAGGAGGCGGCTAGGACCGCGTCTGCTCGCGAGATGCACTTTCGGGCTTTTCAGGCCATTTGGTTGTTCAACGGGCCTGCAGCCGCCCCGGCGATGTTCCATGCCCTCTCTTTGCTACCAGTCGGAGAGTCTAGGTTGATGTCACATGCCAGTAGGGCGAGGGGCCCGCTCAGATGAGTATGGGCGCGTCCACTAGCGAAATGCTTTTAATTCCGAACACGCGTAATGCATGTCCAGCAAAACGAGCCAAACTGACGACCGGCGCCCTGCCGACCCGAGACGTGCGATCAACCCCTCCGTCTAACCATAGTATCACTAAACCATATCGTATGTATTACTATCGAAACAAGGCAGCGAAATAGGTTTTGTTCGGAATTAGAAGCACCCCCTCTATGACCCAGAGACAGCGCGAGTTGCATGACAAAGAGCTCTAGTAAGATAAGCATGCGTACTGACGAAATGGAGGCTCGAAAAGATGGATGATGCGAGCATATTCTGGTGTATTTGGATGCTTTTGGATAGTTGTCATTGCGCATTTTGTATCAATCAATCGACGTTACCTGGCCAATAGCTCTAAGCCCCATCCCGTGGGAATCGGAGTCGTCTCACATAGTGCGCAATCAACGAGGGCCACCTGACGTCGGTTGGATGTGATCGGTGATGGTGAGGTGGACTCTGGCACTCGGCCGCTGATGCTGTGGCGGTCGAAGGAAGTGCAGGTCCACGCGGTCTCGTGCTGCTTGGTCCGAGCCGTGTTCCAAGTAGCAGGCCTCGCGCGCCAGCCGCGAGATGAACAAGTGTAGTCAAGTCGCCCAAGAGCGTAGACGCGTGAAGACGTCGACGCGCCTCGAGGTCAGCCATTTCTGGGGCAAGATTGGAAGAAGCCATGTGGGTTTTCCACCAACGCGGTCGGTCATGGAAGGACAAGTCGTTCGAAGGAATTGCCATGCCTGGTTGGTCTCCATAACACTGGGACTAGAAGGTCCAACGGAAAGGTGCTGGAGAGCCAGAGCTGGGATTGAAGAAGGCTGTGAACATGTACACGTGCGTTTGGCTGTTGAGACGCAAGGTGCTCTTCGCATGAACAAGTTAGGCGGTCTCTACCTCTTGAGTCAAGGAACAAGCTTGTTGGTTCATATTACTATCCCCCGAAAAAGTTCGTGAAGAATGGTAGTTCACTATGTTCCGGCACCCATGCCCCACCCTCTCCCCCTACAGTAGTTGTCAGACCTTGTGCACATACAAAATACACTGTCATTTGGAAGATTGAGCTCCGTCAGAGAAGGAGGGAGGCCGAAAAGAAGAAGTTTTGGCAATTTTGTTTCACGAAAAATTTGCCACTTTTCAATCAATTCATGCTTTCCACCACCAGAATCACGTCATTCCACTCCACCCTCTACCTGCACATTGCACAAGTGCTTAGGATCACTTCCAAAACCCAACAAGGCGTGTTTGGTGCCGTTGATGGAGGGAAGGCCGGGCCCTGGGATCATGTGTGTTAACGTGAATGCTCGATGAGAGTACAGCGTCTCTCGGCCCGCCATCGCCGCCCAGATTGGTCTGAAGTACCGAAGAATGTTCAGGTACACTCGTGTGTACATGGACGGCGGCAGGTTTGCAACCAAGCCGAGCTTCGGCTGAAAACTCGAGGTTACGGCCCCTTTGTCCAGCTCAATTTCAGTCCGGAGAGTCCCCCATTGCCTCTGAGATCGCCGCTTTTACCCTCAAAATGACGACGATGATGTCATCTACAGCTTATGCTCAAAAGGAACTGGGTAGGCGGGGGTTCAAGTACCGAGTCAAGTGCGAAAAGTCGCGGTGTTAGGTATCTAACCAATTTGCCCATGTCAACTTCGACGAGTTGACATTGTACCTTTTTAGGTCAGTTGGTTTTGGGAGGGCAAACTCAATCCCTAACAAGTATTTGTGTGTGTTTTGTCAGGCTGGTGTAACGATGGGGAAGTTGTTTTTGGTTCTGTGCGGTGTAGCCGCAATACCGTATTCAGCACAGTGGAGGTCTGTCGGAGATGGAGTAGAGTGGCATGCCAGTGGGGCATGACATTGCACTGACTCTGACAGCCGGTGGTAGTTAATGAGGAAGTAGTTAATCGCTGAAGCACTCAAAGTGAACACGACGCTGATGAATATGAGTGGATGGCTTCAGCCAAGGACATTAATTGTGGCTGGCTCACTATTGGAGGAGATGAACAGTCTGGATGAGAATCAGATTGGAGAAACTGGAGCGCGGGCGATTGCCGAGACACTCAAAGTCAAACACGCTGACTTGGCTCAAGTAAGGTCTCTCACTATGGCTGATGCATCTGAGTGGGTGATCCAGCAGAGGGCATTCAGAGTGCTCAGTGGTGAATGGGACGGACAGGCTGAACCGGAATTGCATTGGCGAAGATGGTGCGCGGGCGATTGCTGATGCACTCAAAGTGAACTCGACATTGCGGTGTTTTTTGTAAGGCGTATCACTTTCCACTGATGCTTGTGCAGGTGTGATCCAGTAGATTGAATTCAGAGTGCTCACGAATGGAGAGAATGGACAGGCTTAAGCAGAATCAGATTGGTGATGCTGGAGGGCAGGCAATCGCTGAAGCACTCAAGGTCAACACAAGGCTGACTGACCTCTTGTAAAGCATCTCATTTTACTGATGCTTGTGAGTGGATGATTCAGCAGAGGGTGCACAGAGTGCGCACTGATTGTGTGGACTAGTTTGAATGAGAATGAGATTGGCAATGCGGGAGCGCGCACTCAAGGTGAACTCGACGATGTCCCGGCTCTAGTAAGACAGCTATCCCTCATAGTTCCAATTGGCGCAGAGAGCTAGCTGATGGATGGAACGCACAGTTTGGAAGACCATCTGATTGGCGATGCTGGAGCCCAGGCGATTACCGAAGCGTTCAAGATGAACCCGAAGCTTGTGAATGTTTTGTACGGTGTCACGCGCTTTGACTATGAGCCAGGGTCATCCACACACCCTGCTCACTCACTCGCGTTGCTCAACAGTCTAATGCGGAATAATGTCATTAGCAATACTTGCTCTCAAGCAATCAGCAAACGCACAGCCAGCCCTGCGCAAGTTAAGTTGTCCTTGCCAATCGAGGCCATTGAAGCTCCAATGAGCTGCTTCCAACCAATGGAGTGCGCTTTCCAATTGCTCATTTATGGTGCTTGTTCGTTGGCAGCGTTTACGACCAGATTAACCCTCTTGCACTCTCCTTACTTCCACGCCTCGCAACCGCTGACGACCTTCAGACCGTATTTTGCTTGCTGACCAGCGGACCGGCGCTAGAGGATCAGTCTACATTTCTACCAGCATTACCAGCCGAGATTGCCGACATCATTATGGACGAAGCGCAATACTGGCAAGGCGTGCAGCACATCAAGCGATGCCAGTTTGATGATGACTCCCTCGAGCATATTCTGAAAGTCACACTGCCTCAAGGCGTTAATGGGAATTCAATCCGTGTAAAAGCAATTCAAGCGCTTCGTGATATGGGAAACGGTTTCAACAGCAACGGCAGCAGCGGCTTTGATTTGATTGTCCGAGATGAGCAAGGTGCTGTTCGATACGAATGCGCTGCGGAAGCGACTATTGTCGATTCTACACTCGTATCCGCGCGCGTGGGTTGGCAAGTTCAGGTTCAACCCAGCAAGTCTGCCCGAGATGTGGTATTCGAATCGCTCGTCGTTAAATGCATGTAGAGTACCTGTGTCATACTATCAGGACTCGCAGGGTTCTTTGCGAAGAGGACTCGGCGTTGATGTAGTCGTCTGGAATTGGAATGGCAGCTCAGTGCTTTCAAATTTTTTTAAACCGATGTGTATTTGTATTTACCAGTACTCACGCCGTCATAACAACAAAAGTTCGCTGGGCGCCGTTGGTATTGGCGTACGCAGCTCTAGTCAAACATGTTGATCGTCACAGAGGACGAGAATCAGCTTTTGGAGGGTCGAGTCGGGCTCGATTGCGAGTGCGTTGGGCTAGTCATGAGTTCTTTATTTTTGCGGCACGTGAAGGTGTCTTGCCTCGCGATTGAGAACAAGGCTTCGGAAGTGCGCAACGGCATGAGTCGGGTGGATGGTTGCGTGGTCGAAGCGAGCTCGGCACCGCAACGTCCAGAGTGACCATCTGGCCAGGTGGATCAAGATGGTGAGACACGAGCGGGAGTGGTCGTGCTTCTTGTCCACAATGAGTAGTTCGTATCGGTGTGTGCGCCAAGGTCCGAGCATTTTGAAGTCGTCATGCCCGGGAACCAAAAGCCGTGAGCGCGCTTGAAGATCGTCTTTGCTTCGTCCCACACTGCTTCCGCGAGTGGGCATTCCACGATCATGTGAGGCCAAGTCTCCTCTTTGCCTGGTCTTCGGCAGTGTGGGCAGTCGAGTTCGCCTGAGTTGAGTTTGCTTTTTGCTGTTTCGGGGTCTTTTCGGCGGAGATACGACGCGGCGTGGCAGCCCAGCCACTCCGTGTCGTCCGCGATTCTCCATAGCAGTGCGCTTTATTTGCGCTCCACCAGCGGGGAGCAAGACAGTTTGGCAATGTAGACCCATTGCTCCGGGAGCCTTCTCCAGCTAGCGAGCTGCTTGGGCTCGGGCCTCGCTTTGGTGAGCAGCTTATGGAGCTTCTTGATCCGCAGTCCTGGCGCCGACACGAGCATGGGCGTGTGGTTGGCTCCTTTTCGGCCCTTCAGGATGATGCGTGTTGGGCTGATGTCGAGTTCGGTCAACAAGCCGATGAGCCGGTGTTGTTTGTTTCGTTTGATGACTACGGCTTCTTGGATTTCGAGTGGGTCTACGACTTTGGCCTGTTCAGGCATTTGGTCGATGGTGCCATCCTCGTGAACGTGGTGCGGTTGCCCGAAAAGCTCTTTCTTGTCGTCCTGGATGAGCTCGAGATGGAAGCTGCGTAGGACTCCGTCTGGCGTCTTTCCCCAGCGTAGTGCCGGTTCAGGGCCTTCGTGCTCCAGCAGTTGGTCGAGCTGCAACTGTGGGATGAGCTTCGCGTGGGCCCATTGGGCGGCCTTGCGAGCGTCTGGGTGGCTGATGCCGCTCTCGATTTCAGGCTTTGTCCGGTATCGCTCTTCGTCCCCATCAATGGTCCTGAGATGGTGGACGTAGCAGTATCCCGAGTTGGCGAGGATTTCGCTGCTTGTCGTTTGTTTGTACTTGCCGCCGACCGTTGGCACCTAGAGGGGCGTCGTGCTCGGGCGAGTGTGGGTTGCAGGCAACACGGATCGAGGGCGAACAGCCGAGCTCGAACAGATGATCAGCCGACCTGAGCCACAAGCAGGAGGTGCAAAGATACTTCGGCCTTCAACGGCTGGTAGGCGCTGGCCCTCCGCTGCCCATCACCACGTCACTATTCTGGCACAAGGCACTGAGGTTAGGTTTCCAGTCCGGGATCCTAACAATCCGCAAGGACCGCGTTCCGCGTGGTTAGCGGTATTGTCACTCCTTACGACAGTGTGCTATCCCAGCGCCAGCCGGCTATTTGTGAGTGAGCCGCAATGGCTAGCAACATGTCTTTCGTGGTGTCTAGGTACGGAATCCCTGATCTTTCCAGCATCGACTCGGCTGATCATCTGTTCGAGCTCCTCTGTGAGTTCTTGAGCACTCCTCATGCATGTCTTTTTTGGTGTTATTGACGATTCGACGGTCTCATATCCGACGTTCTTTTTTCTTTGTTGTTCTATAATAAAGCTTGAAACGGGGAAAAGAAGTGATCTGGATTGACTCGACCAAAGTGTCAAAGTCAGCTTGCCCTCTACCCGTGTGTTAACCAAAACCGCACATTATCAGCTGTTGATCGCTGGTACTGGCAAACTGTCATGCTCGTGACAACAAATGTGTCAGGACCCGCAGGCTCTGCGGTCCCGGCTGGGTCGCTCTTTGCTAAGAAGACTCGGCGTTGATGTCTTTGTATTGTTTGCATGCATTTGGAATTCAAACACACTTTTCTACAACAACATTGCCTGGCTAACCCTACCAAGGTCTTACAAAATGGACAATAATGAACATCGATCCAATCTGCATTGGTCACCAGTTTTACCCAGCAACTCACTCGTCGCTCCCATAGCTCAATTGGCAGAGCGCGACACTAGTAATGTCGAGGTAGCGTGTTCGATTCACGCTGGGTGCATATGCCTTTTTTTGCTTTGGATTTTGGTCTTCTTTCACCACTGCGTCCTTCATAACGTAAATCTTCGCAAACGTGGAAATCGATCTTTGCCAACATTTGAAGTCTCCGTGAGAGCTGGGAAATTCGCTTCGGGCTGTGTTTGTATTTTGTTCAGGGTGTTATGATCAGAGATCGTTCCACGAAGATCCGGGTAATGGGTTGATGATGAGAGTAATAATCGGAAAACAAGCGACTTCATTTATACAAAGCGACGAGTGAACACACTCCAAATACAGATACACATCAATCCATAACAGAAGGAGTCCTCTTTTTTCCCCCTTGATTTTCTCTCCTTTTGCCTTTTTCTTTTTTCTCTTCTTTCCTCCTTTCTCTCCCTCTTCCCTCTTCTCCCCCTCTCTTCCCCATGCCTGGCGCCGTGGCCTCCCCGATGGACACATCAGGCGGTCCCGCCAACGCCGCGCATCCAGCGGACCTGGACGCAACCGCTCAACCCCGCGCGCCGCAGCAAGTGTTGATCACCAATTTCATGGCGCCTTCAGCTGCTCCTGCTGCCGCCGCCCCCTCCACCGCCCTCGCTCCCCCGAGCTCGAGTGCAAACCTCTCTCAACAACAGCATCCCAGCTCCCAGCCCACCGCGGCGAGCTCGAACGCTGCGTCGTCCTCGCACGCGGCGCCCTCAATGAGCTACGCCAGCGCAGCCTCCCGCCGAACAACGGTTGACCATGGAGGCCTCGTACCTCCCTTGGACTTTACGTCCCTGCCGGAGTTCTACAAGGATACCGTGTTCAAAATCTACAAGAGAGAACATCCCACTCTGGATCTGACCGCGCTTGCCAATGCTGCTCGCTCCCAATTCAACCCCCAGCCCATCATTATCGAGAGGGCTGCTTACTTCCTTTTCACGGTGACTCGAGCGGATCACGCTAGCACCCTCGCCTTAAGCGGCATTACGGTTGGCAAGGCCACCATCAGGCCGTCCACACCTGTTTTCACCTTTCAGGTCCATTTCCGCAACTACCCATATGCCACTCCTGCAGAGAACCTCTGCAAGATGTTCTCCAAGGCTTTGGGAATCAACTTCTCTGAGCTCAAGTTCACCCTTACCAAAGACGGGTTCAACGACGGCTCCGGGCACCTGGTGGCCTTCGGCGACGAGTCGCAGCTGAAGGAGTATGCCAAGCGAGTTCCCTATTCCATCGCCATCGGCAAAGATGACCATGTCTTCCTCTCCTGCAAAAACCAACTGCATGGCTGCTGCTACTGCAAGACCACCGAGCACACCAGAGAAAAGTGCACCCAGGCCCCGGCGTGTAGCTGGTGCCTCGGCAAGGGCCTCTCCGGCCACCACAACCCCAGGTTCTGCAGCCACAACCCCAGCAAGCTCAAGAGGAAGCGCGGCTCTCGTTCCAGCGCGCACCCCCAGCGCACTGCTCACGCTGTCTCCGCGAGCCAATCATCTCAGCCGTCGACCTCAGCGTCGGCCACGAGCACCTCAAGCCTCGCACCATCTCAATCCATTGCGCAGGCTCTTCTCTCCTCTGCGACCGCTCCTGGCGCTGCCTCTAACGTAGCAGCCCGTCAGGCCGCATCATCTCCCTCCTCTGCCGCGCCTGCTGCCGCGGCTCCGGCACCGTCGGCTGCTGGCCCTTCTGCTCCCTCGGGTGCGCCTGCCTCTGCGTCTGGCCCCTCCCGCACGGCTGCGCCCACGGCCCCAGCTGCCGCACCAGCCGACTCGGACGCTGCGCGCATTCGTGCAAACTCGACCGGCGCTGCAGTGGCCCACCCCAGGCCCGCTAGCGCCAGCACTCCATCTGCGAGCTCTAGGACTCCGTCCGCCAGCTCCACGCCAACTGTGTCTCGCAGCCGTGCCGGGTCTATTTCCATTTTCCCCCAGTGGTCGCTGTCATCGAGCGCCTCCACTCCCTTTTCGGCGGGGGTGCACACAGCGATGCACCCGTCCACAGCGTCCCAGTCGCAGTCTGAGGGCCTCGCCACTCCCTCATCGACGCGCGTCCGCCTCCACTCGGCAGACAGCTCTCCTGAAGGTCACGTCAACAAAAGCCGTCGGGTCGACCATTCCGAGTCCACCACGCATGTTGAGCAGTCCTCCTCGCAGGTCACCAGCCTGCCATCCGACCAATCCTCCGCGCCTCCCGGCGCTCCGGATGAAGATGTCGGTTCCTCCCATCAAAATCTGTAGTTGGAATGCCAAGACCGTGAGGCCTTCCCTGTTTCCGGAATCCCCCATGGCCCTGGCTTTCCAACCGTCCTTGGCCGAAACGCTCGGCAAGGACGCCACGATCATCATGCTCCAAGAAACTCATTTCCGTTC